ATTATCTCAAGGTATTTCAAAGACATTCTTTAAACATTTAGTGCGTTGTGACAATTAAGTAGGTTTATACCGGCCCCTGGATTGTCGCAGACGTCATAGGATACGTCACTGCCCGCGGGTGATGCGCATTGACGGCAGACACATTTGTGGCCGTGGTCGTTTCGTTGTGTTCCTGCTGTTAATCGAGTAACGCGTCGTGACGATTTCAAAGTGAAATTTAGCACCTTGCTTTTTACTTTCTCGTATATACGTAGTATAGAGAAAGTATTGTAATCGTGCAAAAAAAAAAATTCGAGATTTTTACAAATCTCGACGTTTTACACCTCACTGATACGGAAAAACATAATTTTGCAATCTTGTCCGTATGTCTGTGTGTGTGTGTGTCTGTCTGTCTGTCTGTCTGTCCGTGTGTAAACACGATAACTTGAGTACCGTTACAGCTAGGTTGATGAAATTTCATATATAAGTATTTTATCAAAATCGTAGATCCGTATCAACTTTTGAGCGATTTCCGATAACCGGAAGTGGTACTTTTCCTACTTTGAATTTTTTAAAAGCCTATAACTTGAGTACTATTTCAGATAGATAAATGAAATTTCACATGTAAGTAAAAGATCTAATTCTCTACCTTCTGTTAAATTTTGAGTAATTTCCGTTGACAGGAAGTAGTAATTTACGCTACTTCCGATTTCTCAAAAAACTAATGTAAATTTTAAAAGTACTAATAATATTGCGCACTATTATACACACCTTTATTAGGCGTTCGCTTGGTGCGCAATTGTTTTTTACTGAGATTCTATTCTATTTTTACAAGCTTTTATTTAACTCACTTCCTCTGTCGTCAGTCTGTCGACAGTCTGTCTAGACGGAAACGCAGGAGTGAAAATTCGGACAGTTCTACTTGACCGACACGATTCACAGTTGGCACGTGGGTCAAGACATGAAGACAATGCAATCTGAAACTAAATTTGACTTAATTGGATGCCTAATTGATTTTTTATGAATTAATAAAAATTTGGACCGAATTAGTAGGCATGTCTAGCCAACCACACCACACGCGTCATCAATAGCTGCGCCATCACGACCACGTAATGGCTGCGTTCAAAAACCATTGCGCGCCTACTGAACGTGATGTTCAGTAGGCGCGCAATGGTTTTTAGTCATGTAACTCTATTGTAAATAAAACATGTAAAGTACTGAAAAAAAAATTCATAAAAAACGTTTTAATAACAAGCTTTTATGTAATGATGCACTAAAAAGTAGAAAATAAATTATAGACTACTATTTAAATAACTATAAAGAAAAGCGTGGGTGTCTTCCTTAACATTAGTAAAGGTATCCAATAGATACTAAAGTGACCCACGCTTTTCTTTATAGTTATTTAAATAGTAGTCTATAATTTATTTTCTACTTTTTAGTGCATCATTACATAAAAGCTTGTTATTAAAACGTTTTTTATGAATTTTTTTTTAAAAGTTTTAGTATTTAAAATGGATTAAAAATCATAACTATATCCCCAGTTACCATCCCCTTGTTGTTTTATATAAGAATATTCGAGAAAGTTTAGGGGAGATCACTACCGGTTTATTGTGCTTAATTCACATAATTTCAAAGTAAAATTTAACACCTTCCTTTTTGTTTGTAATTCACAAACATTTAACTAATAGATGTTTTTTTCCAGAACTGAGTTTAAAGTGAGGTAAATTATATATGTATGTATACATATATATATATATATATATATATATATATATATATATATATATATATATATATATATATATATATATATATGCGTGTCTGTGTGTTAAATGAAAAACTGTTTAATATTCAGCAAACAAACATATGCCGATGATGAAACTGAAATACTAAAGTGACCATTGCACGGTAATAGGTCGCTGTTGATTACAAGTCTGAGGCAACATAATTGCATATACTATATAATAGATTAACTAAAATGTGTATTTGTGCTTTTACGTTTCAGGTTTATTATTGTGATTTATTTTGTGCCTTTTCTGTTTCAAGAGAGACAACCTTTGTCTCTTTTCTCAGGGGTTAGTAATCTCTGGATTACTGCCCCACAGAGGCACATATGTCCCCGGGCGCCGACATTAGGGCAAAATATATATATATTATATATATATATATATATATATATATATATATATATATATATATATATATATATATATATATATATATATATATATATATATATATTATATATATATATATATATATATATATATATATATATATATATATATATATATATATATATATATATATATATATATATATATATATACGACCTTATTTAATTAACTCTGGAAAGCTGCAATATTCAAGATGTCATCCATAAATAACATCACCATTTCTTTTTGATCATCGCCACTCCCCCCCCCCCCCCCATCTCCCTAGCCTCCAACCCCACAATCGTTACACATTTATACAAAAGGCCCGACTCCCACCTCTAAAACATCACACTCAAACACAGATTATTATTTTTTTTACAATTGTTTCTAGAATAATTTCTACCTCGATCAACACTGAGTATAAAAGTCGATTTCTTTTGCAATGTACGAACTCAGCCTTTTAAAGACAGGAAATAACCCCTAAACGTCAGTTTCTAACATTACTTTTCAAATACGACGCACAATAGCCATCAAACTTTAAAGACACGAAATAACCCCTAAACGTCAGTTTCTAACATTACTTTTCAGTTTCTAACATTACTTTTCAAATACGACGCACAAGAGAGCCATCAAGCTTTCTTCAGCCGCCTCTCCTCACACATGGCTACAAAGTCCCGAAACTCCGCCCTTCTTTCTATGAGTGTGACGTCAATTATTGACGTCCTCTAAGCAGGGGCGGAACTACAGTGCCGCCAGACCCCGCAATGCGGGGGGGCCCAGACCAATTGGGGGCCCAAAAATCCTGGCTAAATTATTTTAAAAAAAAAATTAAAAAAAAAAAGGTGGAGGTCGAGTTATCTTTCTTCTACAGTTACAAACAAACACGATAGTCGGCAAACGTCTTTGAGAAAAATGCACTGACTATAGCTCGAGAGACCGCCAGACATATCGACAACTTCAAAGACGAAGCATCTGAAATTTTGACTGTGCCGGAACGCTTTGAAATCGGGCTGGGGAAATGTTGCGGCGAGGCGACTATCCTGGTCTTTTAGACTATCGGAAAAAGTCGGCACTATTGATGTAGATGTTTATCGGCGCTTTCTTGTCCCCTTCCCTTCCCAACTCTCTTCCCCCCCCCCCTCCCCCTACCCCTCACTTCTACCCCTCACCACACCCTTACTCTTACAATAAGATGTAATGCATAGATTAACGAACCGTCTATGAACTGTAAACTGACCACTTCTGCACATTTTGTTAAAGACACTAGTCAGTAGTTGTTCATTTACCTGATGAACAGGGGCGGAACTACAGTCCCGCCAGACCCCGCAATGCGCGGGGGGGGGGAGGCCGTTTAGGGGCCCACGGCTGACCAAATTTTTTTTTTTTTTAAATTTTGAATTTAATTTTTGCCTTAATATTTGGTTTGTAAAAGAAAAACACTGTAGCTGCGGTACGATTATCTTTATTTTACAGTCACTATACCACGCTCTTCCGCAAAAGATAAAATCCATTACACAAACTACAGTGTAAAATATAGGCAACTCTTCAAATTTCGAATGACTTCTTTGACTCGTTGCCCCCCCTCCCTTTGATAGCTAAATAGAGGACACGTAACTGTTTTTTATATTTTTATTTAGAAATTAATTAGAACGTTTAGAATTAATTGAACATTATTAATAGTCATTGAGGTGGGGGTGTGTGAGGGTCTGGCTTTTTGTTAATCCCCCCTCCCCTAAATCAGAAGGTTATCCAACGCGTGACCTGGCCACATACAGTTGTACATGTGAAAAACATTTTTCTCTCTAATATTATTATGCATTACTGCATCATTCACCCAATCGCCATGAAAACTTGGGAAGCTGTTGAGTACAGCCCCGCAAAGGTTTCTGTCATAGGCCTAACAGCTCTGCCGGAAGAAACAATGTGTCACACCCATCACCCGTGCAGTAATGTAACCGGTAGCTCCAAGAGCCCCGTGACTCCCCTGACACCTGGGCCGTCGCAGAGGGATTTACAGCATGCCTTGGCGTGTCTAGTTGGTAGTGTGGACAAACCCGCGCCCTAAGATCCAAGAAATGAACTGCCGACATTGTTAACATTTAATTCAACTTCTGGAAAACAGGGCACACGGTTAGTAACGTTTTGATGAAAGCCTCAGTTTGGTGTGTTGGACTAGATTTAGAAAGGGGCCAGCTCGTGTGTTGGAAAACCTCTGATTTATTCGTGTACCAGATGGAATTTTTTTTAAATTGAGAGCGAACCTTGTTTTATATATATATATATATATATATATATATATATATATATATATATATATATATATATATATATATATATATATATATATATATATATATATATATATATATATATATATATATATATATATATATATATATATATATATATATATATATATATATATATATATATATATATATATATATATATATACATATATGGGGGCCCAAAAAAAATTTTTGCGGGGTGGCCCATTTTTTCTAGATTCCGCCACTGCCTCTAAGGGGATATTAATAAATTATTAAGGACATGGACGCACTAAGTATCACTATAGGAATCTTAAATAATCAACTTCGCGCCTTTTTTGACGATTTTACCCCCTTCCACCACCCTTCGTAACACATCGGCACAAAAAGCCAGACCCCCACCCACACCTAAAATGACGTCACACCTCAGCCTACATTCCCCCCCTCCCCCTTATTCCGAATTTATTTTTGAACAGGAAGTCTCATGACCGACCATCGACATCAAGGTCAACGCTATGCTGATATAGAAGCATGCAACAATCCTTAGAATTGCATCAGATGAAATGTGTGTTGAGAATTAAATATTGGCGGTTAAAAAGTCTTGATCAAGAAGCAGATCTACCCATACTACAGAAGCAGTTACCACTTATCGAGACAGCTATCTGCACGCTACTGAAAGGATAGGGTTTGTACATTTAACATTAATTAAAATATCTGTGTATTGCTTATTATATTAGTTTAGTAAATCTAGAATCAAGATCTCGATTTAGTTTTAATTCACAACAAAACTACCAGCGTATTTTTGTGATCGTCATGGCTGAGGTATAGTCTAGATTTCTAGATCTAGATCTAGATTCTAGAATCTATAATAAATTTAATTTATGGTAATCTATCCCCCTATCGTTTTTACGGACGATTTTACGTACCTAAAACGATAGATTACCGATCTATATTAAATATTTAACAACAGTAATTTTTAGTATCAATTATATTTTTTATAATTGTGGAATGTAATTTTTTTTAACATTAAGACTAAGAGTGAGAGATCTGAGCCTGATCTGTTGACCCGCTATCAATGTACTGACTCAAACATTGATCTAGCTAGATCGATGTTCATGGCATATATGATATAGATCTAGAAATCTAGATCTAGGAAGAGAAATGTTTTTTTAAATGCATTAAAATAGCAATATAAAAAAGTTTATAGTATAACTCATCGTCATGTTTAGATGGTATCTACTTATGTAGCCACAATTATATGCAGCCTCAACTGTAGATAGCCAAACTGTAAGTAGCGAAAATTGTGGGTAGCCAAAACTGCTGGTAGCCAGTGGCGTAGCGAGGTTGGGTGTCACACGGTGCGGCATTTAATGGTGTCACCCCCAAGAGGCACTTAATGGTGTCACCCGGTGCGGTCCGCATCCCCGCCCCACTCCCCCCCCCCCCCCCCCGCTACGCTTCTGCTACAACTCTTGGTAGCCAAAACAGAAGATATCTAAAGGTTGTCACAACTCTAGTCAGCCATACATGTAGGTAGCCACAGTTGTAGTTGGCCTCAGCTGTAGGTAGCAAGAATAGTAATTGTAGATGGCCTCAACTGTAGGTAGCAAGAATAGTAATTGTAGATGGCCTCAACTGGAGGTAGCAAGAATAGTAATTGTAGATGGCCTGAACTGTAGGTAGCAAGAATAGTAATTGTAGATGGCCTGAACTGTAGGTAGCAAGAATAGTAATTGTAGATGGCCTCAACTGGAGGTAGCAAGAATAGTAATTGTAGTTGGCCTCAACTGTAGGTAGCAAGAATAGTAATTGTAGATGGCCTCAACTGTGGGTAGCAAGAATAGTAATTGTAGATAATAGATGGCCTCAACTGAAGGTAGCAAGAATAGTAATTGTAGATGGCCTCAACTGTAGGTAGCAAGAATAGTAATTGTAGATGGCCTCAACTGTGGGTAGCAAGAATAGTAATTGTAGATAATAGATGGCCTCAACTGAAGGTAGCAAGAATAGTAATTGTAGATGGCCTCAACTGTAGGTAGCAAGAATAGTAATTGTAGATGGCCTCAACTGGAGGTAGCCACAGTTGTAGATGGCCTCAACTGTAGGTAGCAAGAATAGTAATTGTAGATGGCCTCAACTGGAGGTAGCAAGAATAGTAATTGTAGATGGCCTCAACTGTAGGTAGCAAGAATGGTAATTGTAGATGGCCTCAACTGTAGGTAGCAAGAATAGTAATTGTAGATGGCCTCAACTGTGGGTAGCAAGAATAGTAATTGTAGATAATAGATGGCCTCAACTGTAGGTAGCAAGAATAGTAATTGTAGATGGCCTCAACTGTGGGTAGCAAGAATAGTAATTGTAGATAATAGATGGCCTCAACTGTAGGTAGCAAGAATAGTAATTGTAGATGGCCTCAACTGTAGGTAGCAAGAATAGTAATTGTAGATGGCCTCAACTGTGGGTAGCAAGAATAGTAATTGTAGATAATAGATGGCCTCAACTGTAGGTAGCAAGAATAGTAATTGTAGATGGCCTCAACTGTAGGTAGCAAGAATAGTAATTGTAGATGGCCTCAACTGTGGGTAGCAAGAATAGTAATTGTAGATAATAGATGGCCTCAACTGAAGGTAGCAAGAATAGTAATTGTAGATGGCCTCAACTGTAGGTAGCAAGAATAGTAATTGTAGATGGCCTCAACTGTAGGTAGCAAGAATAGTAATTGTAGATGGCCTCAACTGTGGGTAGCAAGAATAGTAATTGTAGATAATAGATGGCCTCAACTGTAGGTAGCAAGAATAGTAATTGTAGATGGCCTCAACTGTAGGTAGCAAGAATAGTAATTGTAGATGGCCTCAACTGTGGGTAGCAAGAATAGTAATTGTAGATAATAGATGGCCTCAACTGAAGGTAGCAAGAATAGTAATTGTAGATGGCCTCAACTGTAGGTAGCAAGAATAGTAATTGTAGATGGCCTCAACTGGAGGTAGCCACAGTTGTAGATGGCCTCAACTGTAGGTAGCAAGAATAGTAATTGTAGATGGCCTCAACTGTAGGTAGCCACAGTTGTAGATGGCCTCAACTGTAGGTAGCAAGAATAGTAATTGTAGATGGCCTCAACTGGAGGTAGCAAGAATAGTAATTGTAGATAATAGATGGCCTCAACTGAAGGTAGCAAGAATAGTAATTGTAGATGGCCTCAACTGTAGGTAGCAAGAATAGTAATTGTAGATAATAGATGGCCTCAACTGAAGGTAGCAAGAATAGTAATTGTAGATGGCCTCAACTGTAGGTAGCAAGAATAGTAATTGTAGATGGCCTCAACTGGAGGTAGCCACAGTTGTAGATGGCCTCAACTGTAGGTAGCAAGAATAGTAATTGTAGATGGCCTCAACTGGAGGTAGCAAGAATAGTATTTGTAGATGGCCTCAACTGTAGGTAGCCACAGTTGTAGATGGCCTAAACTGTAGGTAGCAAGAATAGTAATTGTAGATGGCCTAAACTGTAGTCTGTAGATAGCAAGAATAGTAATTGTAGATGGCCTCAACTGGAGGTAGCAAGAATAGTAACTGTAGATGGCCTCAACTGTAGGTAGCAAGAATAGTAATTGTAGATGGCCTCAGCTGTAGGTAGCAAGAATAGTAATTGTAGATGGCCTCAACTGTAGGTAGCAAGAATAGTAATTGTAGATGGCCTCAGCTGTAGGTAGCAAGAATAGTAATTGTAGATGGCCTCAACTGTAGGTAGCAAGAATAGTAATTGTAGATGGCCTCAACTGTAGGTAGCAAGAATAGTAATTGTAGATACTAGATGGCCTCAACTGTAGGTAGCAAGAAAAGTAATTGTAGATGGCCTCAACTGTAGGTAGCAAGAATAGTAATTGTAGATGGCCTCAACTGTAGGTAGCCACAGCTGTAGATGGCCTCAACTGTGGGTAGCAAGAATAGTAACTGTAGATGGCTTCAACTGTAGGTAGCAAGAATAGTAATTGTAGATGGCCTCAGCTGTAGGTAGCAAGAATAGTAATTGTAGATGGCCTCAGCTGTAGGTAGCAAGAATAGTAATTGTAGATGGCCTCAACTGTAGGTAGCTACAACTCTTGGTAGCCAAAACAGAAGATATCTAAAGGTTGTCACAACTCTAGTCAGCCATATATGTAGTTAGCCACAGTTGTAAATGGCCTCAACTGTAGGTAGCCACAGTTGTAGATGGCCTCAACTGTAGGTAGCAAGAATAGTATTTGTAGATGGCCTCAACTGTAGGTAGCAAGAATAGTATTTGTAGATGGCCTCAACTGTAGGTAGCAAGAATAGTAATTGTAGATGGCCTCAACTGTAGGTAGCAAGAATAGTAATTGTAGATGGCCTCAACTGTAGGTAGCAAGAATAGTAATTGTAGATGGCCTCAACTGTAGGTAGCAAGAATAGTAATTGTAGATGGCCTCAACTGTGGGTAGCCACAGCTGTAGATGGCCTCAGCTGTAGGTAGCAAGAATAGTAACTGTATATGGCCTCAACTGTAGGTAGCAAGAATAGTAATTGTAGTTGGCCTCAACTGTAGGTAGCAAGAATAGTAATTGTAGTTGCCTCAACTGTAGGTAGCCACAGTTGTAGATGGCCTCAACTGTAGGTAGCCACAGTTGTAGTTGGCCTCAACTGTAGGTAGCAAGAATAGTAACTGTAGATGGCCTCAACTGTAGGTAGCAAGAATAGTAATTGTAGTTGGCCTCAACTGTAGGTAGCAAGAATAGTAATTGTAGATGGCCTTAACTGTAGGTAGCAAGAATAGTAATTGTAGATGGCCTGAACTGTAGGTAGCAAGAATAGTAATTGTAGATGGCCTCAACTGGAGGTAGCAAGAATAGTATTTGTAGATGGCCTCAACTGTAGGTAGCCACAGCTGTAGATGGCCTAAACTGTAGGTAGCAAGAATAGTAATTGTAGATGGCCTAAACTGTAGTCTGTAGATAGCAAGAATAGTAATTGTAGATGGCCTCAACTGGAGGTAGCAAGAATAGTAACTGTAGATGGCCTCAGCTGTAGGTAGCAAGAATAGTAATTGTAGATGGCCTCAACTGTAGGTAGCAAGAATAGTAATTGTAGATGGCCTCAGCTGTAGGTAGCAAGAATAGTAATTGTAGTTGGCATCAACAGTAGGTAGAAGAATAGTAATTGTAGATGGCCTCAACTGTAGGTAGCAAGAATAGTAATTGTAGATGGCCTCAACTGTAGGTAACAAGAATAGTAATTGTAGATGGCCTCAACTGTAGGTAGCCACAGTTGTAGATGGCCTCAACTGTAGGTAGCAAGAATAGTAACTGTAGATGGCCTCAACTGTAGGTAGCAAGAATAGTAATTGTAGTTGGCCTCAACTTTAGGTAGCCACAGTTGTAGATGGCCTCAACTGTAGGTAGCCACAGTTGTAGATGGCCTCAACTGTAGGTAGCAAGAATAGTAATTGTAGTTGGCCTCAACTGTAGGTAGCCACAGTTGTAGATGTCCCCAACTGTAGGTAGCAAGAATAGTAATTGTAGATGGCCTCAACTGTAGGTAACAAGAATAGTAATTTTAGTTGGCCTCAACTGTAGGTAGCCACAGTTGTAGATGGCCTCAACTGTAGGTAGCAAGAATAGTAATTGTAGATGGCCACAACTGGGGGTAGCAAGAATAGTAATTGTAGATGGCCTCAACTGTAGGTAGCAAGAATAGTAATTGTAGTTGGCCTCAACTGTAGGTAGCAAGAATAGTAATTGTAGATGGCCTCAACTGTAGGTAGCAAGAATAGTAATTGTAGTTGGCCTCAACTGTAGGTAGCCACAGTTGTAGATGGCCTCAACTGTAGGTAGCCACAGTTGTAGATGGCCTCAACTGTAGGTAGCCACAGTTGTAGATGGCCTCAACTGTAGGTAGCCACAGTTGTAGATGGCCTCAACTGTAGGTAGCAAGAATAGTATTTGTAGATGGCCTCAACTGTAGGTAGCAAGAATAGTATTTGTAGATGGCCTAAACTGTAGGTAGCAAGAATAGTAATTGTAGATAATAGATGGCCTCAACTGAAGGTAGCAAGAATAGTAATTGTAGATAATAGATGGCCTCAACTGAAGGTAGCAAGAATAGTAATTGTAGTTGGCCTCAACTGTAGGTAGCAAGAATAGTAATTGTAGATGGCCTTAACTGTAGGTAGCAAGAATAGTAATTGTAGATGGCCTCAACTGTAGGTAGCAAGAATAGTAATTGTAGATGGCCTTAACTGTAGGTAGCAAGAATAGTAATTGTAGATGGCCTCAACTGTGGGTAGCAAGAATAGTAATTGTAGATGGCCTTAACTGTAGGTAGCCACAGTTTTAGTTGGCCTCAACTGTAGGTAGCAAGAATAGTAACTGTATATGGCCTCAACTGTAGGTAGCAAGAATAGTAATTGTAGTTGGCCTCAACTGTAGGTAGCAAGAATAGTAATTGTAGATTGCCCCAACTGGAGGTAGCAAGAATGGTAATTTTAGTTGGCCTCAACTGAACGTAGCTAAACTTTAGGTAGCTGAAAATTGTATGTAGCCAAAAATGTGTGAATTTCTCTTCAATGCAAAATTTCTTTCAGTTTCGTCTTCTCCGACCAGATCTTGTTATGCTAATCATTCTTATATGTTGGTACTTGATAAGAATTTTTTTTAAAAGTTATGAGTTCATTTTCAAACTATCATCAGAAGGTACGAAATCATAATGTTAACTGATGATTAAAATAAAAGTTTTTGTTTTCATTTGTTAAAATTTGCCGATTAGCAGTGTGACGTTCTAATCCCCTCCCCCACCTCCACCTTGTCACACACCTAGCAGTGTGACGTTCTAATCCCCTCCCCCACCCCCACCTTGTCACACACCTAGCAGTGTGACGTTCTAATCCCCTCCCCCACCCCCACCTTGTCATACACCTAGCAGTGTGACGTTCTGATCCCCTCCATCACCCCCACCTTGTCACACACCTAGCAGTGTGACGTTCTGATCCCCTCCCCCAACCTTGTCACACACCTAGCAGTCTGACGTTCTGATCCCCTCCCCCAACCCACCTTGTCACACACCTAGCAGTGTGACGTTCTGATCCCCTCCCCCAACCTTGTCACACACCTAGCAGTGTGACGTTCTGATCCCATCCCCCACCCCCACCTTGTCACACACCTAGCAGTGTGACGTTCTGATCCCATCCCCCACCCCCACCTTGTCACACACCTAGCAGTGTGACGTTCTAATCCCCTCCCCCAACCTTGTCACACACCTAGCAGTGTGACGTTCTGATCCCCTCCCCCAACCTTGTCACACACCTAGCAGTGTGACGTTCTGATCCCCTCCAAAACCTTGTCATACACCTAGCAGTGTGACGTTCTGATCCCCTCCCCCACCCCACCTTGTCATACACCTAGCAGAGTGACGTTCTGATCCCCTCCCTCACCCCACCTTGTCACACACCTAGCAGTGTGACGTTCTTATCCCCTCCCCCACCTTGTCACACACCTAGCAGTTTGACGTTCTGATCCCCTCCCCCAACATTGTCACACACCTAGCAGTGTGACGTTCTGATCCCCTCCCTCACTCCACCTTGTCACACACCTAGCAGTGTGACGTTCTGATCCCCTCCCTCACTCCACCTTGTCACACACCTAGCAGTGTGACGTTCTGATCCCCTCCAAAACCTTGTCATACACCTAGCAGTGTGACGTTCTGATCCCCTCCCCCAACCTTGTCACACACCTAGCAGTGTGACGTTCTGATCCCCTCCAAAACCTTGTCATACACCTAGCGGTGTGACGTTCTGATCCCCTCCCCCACCCCACCTTGTCATACACCTAGCAGAGTGACGTTCTGATCCCCTCCCCCACCCCACCTCGTCACACATCTAACAGTGTGACGTTCTGATCCCCAACCTTGTCACACACCTAGCAGTGTGACGTTCTGATCCCCCCTCCCCCACCCCAACCTTGTCATACATCTAGCAGTGTGACGTTCTGATCTCCTCCCCAACCCCCACCTTGTCACACACCTAACAGTGTGACGTTGTTTATAGGTGACCCCAATGTTGAGTTTTTAAAAATAAATAATCATTTGATTGCACTGTGGCTGTTAATTTATTTCTCTATATTAGTAAAGAAGTATGTAGACCGATAGACTGATATGTTGGCAATAACTTCTAACACAACCGATCAAATGCCTGATACACTGAAACTGTGGGCCTGACTTTCGTTTGAAATATACTTCCTGCAGTCCATCTAGTCAAATGTGACACTCTCCCGAAAGCCAAATATCTGATGGATATTTTCCCTAAGAAAAATAACTGATCAAAATAAGAAAAAAAATTATGATTGCTAGCAGTGACGTCATGAGATCGGATGGCACTCGGTGCAGTCATTTTTAGTGTGTGACTACAACTCTGGTTGATAGTGTCATGCCTTGATGGATGATACATTTAATAATCTTCCCTTTAAGGTTAACAACTGTCTCCCTTCTTACACCCAGCTAGATAATATCAATGTGACTTTTCGATTTATGAAACAGTAATCAGTAGATTTATCAGATAAATATGCACTGCTTCACGTTTGTGTATTGTCGTATGTGGTGTCACCCGTTGAAGTCCGAAAAAAAGCGCCACTAGTTTAATATAAAGATGCCAAGGCTTTTTAAACCTAACTGCATGTACCCACACAATCTTTTTGTATACAATCTATATATATAATTCTCTTCTTCGAGCCGTTAGAAAACAAGCTGCAAACGCTCTCCCTACCTCCCCACCCCTACATGGTTTTAGTGAGCTGTGTTCACTCTAAATGTTTACAAGCAGAGCCAACAATTTTAAAGGTAGGGGGGGGGGTATGGTCCTTAACGAGCTACTTATAGTGTTTTAAAGAAATATTTTCAGTGTCAGCGTTGGTACTGTCGAATTCACAAATTATGAATTATTGAAAATTAGAAACAACTAAATAGCGGCGTATGATACGCAGCGGGTCGGCTCGTTTGATTTATTTTTATAAGAAAATATCTTGTATCGCATATATTGTGCGTGTGGGATACGTCTCCAAAAGTTAACTTTCTTAATGGATAATTGCCTGAAGAAATATTAAAGCCCACATTTAGTGTGTACATTTTAAAAAAATGCTTCTTTAAAAGTAAAAATTAATTAAAGTATATTTTGTTAATATTTACAAACTTCTGTTTTTGTATGCGTAAATGTAATGCAATTATTAAAATTACAAATACGTTACCATTGCATGTTGTACTTCATTAAATATTTTTTTTTTTTAAATTTGGGACATTTTTGGGAAAATTTTGTTACCATAGTCCCATATTGTATTACGGACAATCTAGCCTGAATGTCCTTCTAGTTTTTTTACATTATTGCAATGTTGTTTTATTGGAAATAACAAACAATAATATTGACCATTGACTTGACTGTTGATTTTAAAAAAAAAAAAAGCTCTCAGCCCATTATTATGAAATAACTTTTTACAAGATCTTCTCCATTATTATTAAATTTAGAATTTTTGCGATAGTTATCGTTTGTTACACAAATTTAATGTTAAAAGTTATCCATATAAATAAAACGTTATTACGGTCACATTTTCGTTTGACTATTCAGACAAATATCAGGTAAATTTTGACAATTCTTGTTTTATCTATTAAACAACATACGGTCATTATTTAACGTTTATAACTTTGTTTGCAGATACACATAGGATCTTCTGAATTGTTGTAATTCACAAACTAAACTTGCCTGATTGTGAACAATATTCAAGCGTAATGGCTTCATTACTTATAAGGGGAGTGTTTAAAACGCGCCCTATGCTATTGTTGACGAAGTGTGAAACTTCCATATTGTCCTATGAGAATTTTTCTCCTAAAAAACAAATTAAAAAGTTTTTTTACTCACAAACAATAAAACAACATGAAGTAAAAAGTTTCAACATGCATCAAAGAGACCAAGTGTCAAGAGAAATTTATTTTTTACTTAGTAAAATACTCAAGTGCAGCCAAGATGAAGTTGAATCACTTACAAGAAAACATCCACGTTTGGAAACAATGTTTCTCCAACTGTTAGAGGAACAAGTAAACTTGCTGTTGTCTTACAATTTACCTTTGTCTCTGATTACAAAAAATGTTAGGCCATTGCTAAACACTTCACACGATGAACTTAGCAGGAGGTTGGAGCTGTTACAGGCTAGATCCTTGTTGACTGACAATCCTGTTAGAAGTCAGGACAGAGTTTTTGATTCTTTAGAATGGCGTATCGAAAACTTTGATATTGTTCACAAGAACATGTGTGATGAGCTTGATGCATTAGAAGAATGTGCCAATAAATTTGAACGTATTGCTGAAATATTTCGTTGCAATCAAAAGGATGTTGATTCACTTATTACTCAACATCCATATTTGGGAGCCATGTCTATACCACTGCTAGAGCAAAAAGTAAACTTGCTGTTGTCTTACAATTTACCTTTGTCTCTGATCACTAAAAATCCGAGACCTCTGTACATTTCACACGAGGAACTTAACAGGAGGTTGAAGCTGTTACATGCTAGGTCCTTGTTGACTGACAATCTTGTCAGAAGTCAGGACAAAGTTTTTAATTATTTGGCATTTGATGGCAAGGAATTTGATATTGCATACAGAAACATGTGTGATGAGCTTGATGCATTAGAAGGATGTGCCAATACAAAAAAAATTACAAAAAATGTTAGGCCATTGCTCCATACTTCACACGAGGAACTCAGCAGGAGGTTAAAGCTGTTACAGGCTAGGTCCTTGTTGACTGACAATCCTGTCATAAGTCAGGACCAAGTTTTTAATTATTTGGGATGTGATGGCAAGAAATTTGATATTGGATACAAGAACATGTGTGATGAGCTTGATGCATTAGAAGGATGTGCCAATAAATCTGAACGTATTGCTGAAATATTTCATTGCAATCAAAAGGATGTTGATTCACTTATTACTCAACATCCAAGTTTGGAAACCATGTCTATACCACTTCTTGAGCAAAAAGTAAAATTGCTGTTGTCTTACAATTTACCTTTGTCTCTGATCACTAAAAATCCGAGACCTCTGTACATTTCACACGAGGAACTTAGCAGGAGGTTGGAGCTGTTACAGGCTAGATCCTTGTTGACTGACAATCCTGTCAGAAGTCAGGACAAAGTTTTTAATTATTTGGGATGTGGTGGCAAGCAATTTGATGTAGGATACAAGAACATGTGTGATGAGCTTGATGCATTAGAAGGATGTGCCAATAAATCTGAACGTATTGCTGAAATATTTCATTGCAATCAAAAGGATGTTGATTCACTTATTACTCAACATCCAGATTTGAGAAGCATATCTGTACCACTGCTAGAGAAAATAGTACAGCTGTTGTCTTTGTCTCTGATCACAAAAAATGTAAAGCCATTGGATAAATATTCTGTGTGTAAATTAAAACAGAGATTGGAATTAATGCAGGCTGCAGGTATACCGGTCGATAACTACTTAAAGCTTTGTGAGAAAAATGAAACTTACAAGAGATTGAATGCAGATCTTGTTGCTTTAGGAGGCTGCAAAACAGAAAGTGAATATTTACAAAAGAGACTAAAAATTTCTAAAGAAACAGCTGATAAATTTCTCTCGTCTACTAAGCTAAATGGCACCAGTATCAGCAAGATAAAATCTGTTCTAGATTTCTTTGATGTCGGAGATTAAAATGCATCCAGAATACATTTTAAAACACCCGAGTCTATTTAAACTTTCTGTCTCTGAGTAGCGTCAACGTTTTAAAACACCCGACTAGTTTGTTGGTTTCTCATCAATATTTCCCATTACGTCCGCAATGGAACAGGATGTCAACTCACATCATAATTTTGTCTGTATTTGGTTTTTGTTTATATTGATTTTAGTTTCGTGTAGCCTATTCATTTAGTCACAACTTGTTTATGTTGTGGTTAACTTTTTGTTACAAGGCTGTTGCTGTAAATTGGTACTTGAATACAGAATATTAGAATTGTACCCGTTAGAAGTTTATCTATGTAAAGATTATGCTTTGCCTTATGTTAGATAATGCGACGTGTTTACTATAGTAGATCATTCATGTAACTGTTGGCTGACTGGGAACATGATCATCTATGGAGATGTGATGCCGTGTAAATAGGCTTACATTGATTGGAGACTCCATACTGTTGTCTCCACAAAAAATATGAGTATGCGTGCAGATTTGTCTTGTTAGCAGATTGGTGTCATGTTAGCAGGCTGGTGTCTTGTCAGATGATTGGTGTCTTGTCAGATGATTGGTGTCTTATCAGATGATTGGTGTCTTGTCAGATGATTGGTGTTGTCAGCAAATTGATGTCTTGTTAACAGATTAGTGTCTTGTCAGATGAATGGTGTCTTGTCAGCAGATTGGTGTCTTGTCAGATGATTGGTGTCTTGTCAGATAATGGTGTCTTGTTAGCATTTTGGTGTCTTGTCAGAAAATTGGTGTCTTGTCAGCAGAATGGTGTCTTGTTAGCAGATTGGTGTCTTGTAAGCATATTGGTGTTTTGTTAGATGATTGGTGTCTTGTTAGATGATTGGTGTCTTGTTAGCATGTTGGTGTCATGTTAGCATGTTGGTGTCTTGTTAGCAGAATGGTGTCTTGTTAGCAGATTGGTGGTGTCTTGTCAGCAAATTGATGTCTTTTTAACAGGCTGGTGTCTTGTTAGCAGATTGCTGTCTTTCCCATAGGTCGTTGTTAGACTGACAAAGATAATATTTATTTTGTTAGCATTTTGTTGACTTTGATTCTTTTAAAATTCTTACATTAAAGTATGTTTCAAAAACTGTCATTTACTTGTGTTTATTATGATCCATGTTGGGTGGGTAAGTTTATTTCATGCTCACAATTTACTACAGTCATCATGGAAGATAGATTGTGCACCATATCTGATGTTAACTAGGTCTAAATTTGGTATTACAGACAGATATTATTCACCTGTCTATCTAGTAGTTAAAATAAATGTGTTGTGGGAGGGTAACACAATTGTCTCACACTACCACTAATCTCTCAAAATAAAAAAATGTCTCGCATATCGTGATTAGCAATGGTTCAGTGTAACCTGCCGAAGAATGGATGTCACATCTTTTTAAAGATAACCAAGTGATTACTACAAGCAGGGTTTCTTTCAGTTATTTTTTTTTCTCCAGGTCAGAGACAGGCTATAGAAACTTTCTTAAGGGAGTGGGGAGAACAAAAGTTTAGTTACAACTTCTATATAAATAAATTTTTAATGATTTCCTTTCATTGGGAGGGAGTGTGTACAAGTAACCTACACACCAAAGAATCTAAGTGTTAATGATATTCTACTGTCTGTGTCAATGTTTAGTTCTGTAATTCCTGCAAATATTTTTGACAACAAATTCTACAGACAGACGGAGAGATGCATATATCAAATATACATGTATACATATTATATATATAATGGCCTATATATAGGTCTCTCTCTCTATATATATATATATATAGTAAGCTTTTTAATTTGAAACAATGTCTATATATATATAGTAAGCTTTTTAATTTGAAACAATGTCAACAAAATTCAGACCAAACAAATTGTTTTTGTAGAAAATAGCTCCGGTTTTTGTTTCCAAAACCCGAAAGAGACACAAGTCATACTGGCTTCGTTTGGAGACTAGTGCAAACCGTCTTAGTTCTTACAGACACACATTATACGGCCTTCAGCCTAATTATGTAGACCAATAAACATATTAAATAGTCATGCAGTTTTATACACGTTGGGATCCTACAGATTATTTACCTGGTGATAGGGAATTTACATTTGTTGGGAAAAGTTTAAATAAAAGACATTTGATCTCTGAACGTTAGTTTAATGCACACATTCTTCTTCGGATTCTTATCTTTCGCAAAAAAAAACCTTTTTTTTTTCAGAATTATATTGAAAATTTGTTTTTAAATTAATTTTTAAATTATTAGAGAAAATAAAAACAAAAAAATCCCAGAAAATCGATGCCATTTAATACGTACCCAGGGAAGCCAGAACCAGAAGAGCCTGTTGGGCTTGTTCAGTCGGTCCTTACTGGCACTAACAGAATGTGACATGACGCTCTAGGCTTGACGTTACTGGCACTAACAAAATGTGACATGACGCTCTAGACTTGACGTTACTGGCACTAACAAAATGTGACATGACGCTCTAGACTTGACGTTACTGGCACTAACAGAATGTGACATGACGCTCTAGACTTCTTCACTCGGTCGTTACTGGCACTAACAGAATGTGACATGTTGCTTCCCCCTAAAATTACGTCACACCTCATCGTACAAACATCCCCGCCCCCTCAAAATTTCATTTGAATTTTTCTGAAAACATCGATTATTTTTTTTTCCAAAATTTAGTCTGAACTCTGTCAAGATAGAGTATTTTAATCAATTTCTATTATAACTTATTAAAACAGTTTTCTAAAATGCGAAATGACGTCTAAAATTCGTTTTCTGACGTCACACCATATCAACTCCCTTCCACCCCTCATTACACATAGTCACAAAGTTACGGAACCCCCTCCCACTACGAGTAAAATGTCATTTATGTAGAATAACTGACGCTTCTTATTACCGAAAATCGCGGTAAAGTTGAAAAAAACTACTAATTTGATGTAATACTTTTATATGTAATTTCGTCAACTTCGCTGAAACGGTGCTAAAGTTATTATGTTAAAGTCAGAGAGACTGACTGACAGACACACGGACATACGGACACGATTGCAAAATTAAGTTTTTACGACCTAGAGAGGTGTAAAACGTCGATATTTCTCAAAATGCATCCATTATTCTCCGAATAGGAGAAAGTGAACACGAAAAATGTGCGCATAATAGCGCGGTAAATAATGCTTTACATAGGTAATTTTTATTAATTCTAAAATTAATAATTAAGTATCCAATTAAGTCAAATTTGATGTCGGATTGCAATGTTATCTGGTCTTGACCCACGTGCCAGGTTTAAGAGAAACTGGTATGTCAGAAGTGGTCGAAATGTCGCTCGCCAGTTTTTATCGATGACGACAAAAGACAAAAGAGAGACAGAAGAAGCAAGTTGAATAAAATCGTGTAATAATAAAATAAATTGTAACAAATACGAATCGCCATAATGCGAAATTACTAAGCCAACTTACACAGTCAAATGAATATTTGCTGACAAATTATTTTTTTCTGGTGTCATTCTCTGGTCTTAATACACAACATTTTTAATATTATAATGTTTATCTAAGGAAATCTATTCTAAGACATTATCATCTGCATTATATTTCATCGCATTACTACATTCAAGGAAAACTAGACCTGGTTTGTTATAATTGTTTCTTATCGTTAAATTTAATAAAAAGAAATGACTTCAGTAACGAATTTTTCTCTAGTCGTTTTTAACTTGTTAAACAGTACTTTAACACTATATCTAATCTATAAAGTACAAGAAGAATCTAGATATTGATCGATAGACCTAGGTTAGATGCTTAGTAAAAGTAGTAAGAAACTTTAAGAAAGACTATTAGCTTGTTAAGGACTTTCCTAGTTTGTTGGTTCCTTAGGCCAAAAATGAATTAGAACAGTTAATGAGTGAGGCGAATTCAGTAGAGTAGTCACATTCATGATTACTAGATTCATCTGTATTCAAGTGGATCTACGAGGCGAAAACCCCTGACAACTATAGCTGAGTGTTATAAAAAACAACAATTTGGTGGTCTTAATTTCAAGTGTCAGATTATAGTAAACTCTATAACATTTTAGGCTCATCTTTTTATTTCTTCAAAGAAAGTCTAAACTTCTATACTAGGAATAGAGACATGTGGGTTTCATAAGACTGTGTGTCATATTTCATTAGTTACATGTACCCTAAAACAATTTTGGTAAGAATTTGTCAGAATTAAGTGCATTTTATTCTCTGGCCGAAACTAAGCGACGTTAAAGGACACATTCTTAAGATTTAGGGTAGCAGGAGACAAACTCAAATTTTTCAGCAGCCCAAATGGATTTTTAAACAAATTCATGAGAGCCTTTGTAAAATGAGACCAATGTAAATAAACCGGGAGTGATCTCCCCTAAACTTTCTCGAATATTTTTATATAAAATAACAGGGGATGGGAACTCGGGCTATAGACATGATTTTTAATCCATTTTAAATACGTAAAGTTTTGAAAATAGAATAAAATCTCGTAGACAAAAGAATTGCACACCAAGTGAACGCTAAATAAAAAAGTGCATAATAGTGCGCAATATTATTAGTACTTTAAAAAATTACATTAGTTTTTTGAGAAATCGGAAGTAGCGTAAATTACTACTTCCATTCAACGGAAATGACTCAAAGAAGAGATGCTTGGAAGAAACTCTGACATCAACGTGAGATTTGCGTCTTTGTTTGATGTTGAGTTGAATAAAAGAAGGGAAACAACTACAAAAAATCATGTGAAGCTTATGTCTATGTTCGATGTTGAATTGAATCCATTGGTTCTGTGCTAATGAGTTAACTTAGAGATTTAGGAATGTAGTTATAATAATTAATAATTTTGTTTCACAATATCCATCAGACACGAGTGAACATATAACATTGACTGATTTCCTCCCTCCCACCCCCTCCCGCTCCATCTCCCGGTCCCTAATAATTTCCAATTTTAGTGGGAATTTTTTAAAAGGAATTGTAAATGCGATATAGCTGCTAAAATTTAGCTGAAAAATCACTCTTAAAAATAAAGCATTGTGCGATCTACTCTTCAAACAATCTCACGGGTCCGCCCTCCGCCCCCCTCCCCCGCCCCAGGAATGTGATGATAGTTATTAACGCTGGTACTTACCAAAACGACTTGAAACTGTCCAAAAGTCTCAGTGAGTAGCTACACTCTGGATAGTCTTTAGTGAAAAATTACTCTTATGACAGTTCTTGATGACATCAGGATAGTTTTTGTTGACATGCTACACTAAGGATAGTTCTTCTTGACAGGTTACACGCAGTATAGTTCTTATTGGCAGGCTACTCTCAGGATAGTTATTGTTCTCAGGCTACATGCAGTACAGTTGTTGTTGAGATCTGTAACGTACCTCGGGCATGCCAAAGCGCACGGCACGCACTACAATAATCTCAAGCGTTGACTAACATTAACGGGAGAATGTGGTCATCTTGGTCATTTTTTTTTTTTGCAAAATGCTTGATATTTCACTAGACAGATCTGTAAAAAAAATGTCAACAATTAAAGCTCCAATAATTATAGTTATATGTTTCTATTCAACCAAGCAATACACCAAAACAGGAATTAATTCGAAATACAAACATCTAACAACAAATTATGAATTTTAAAATGTTACCAACGTCAACCTACACAAGGATTGTCAAAGTTTTATTGATGTGCTATATATATATATATATATATATATATATATATATATATATATATATATATATATATAATAGAGAGGAACAGAGACAAAGACACAAAACCAAACCTGATCTACTGCAAGAAATATTTTAAAATACATTGGCAGAGAAACATCCACTATCCCAACCCGTCCGTAACTCCTTCGACCCTTAACCTCAAACCTTCATGGGAGTCTCCACCTCTCTCCCCTCCCTTCTAAATTTTAAAGATCTGTTTATAGAGCAGGTGTAAATAACAAGTAGGCTAGACAACAACCTCCACAACAAACATAAACCTCGCTGTTGTTTTTCTTCTATCTGAAATGGTAAATTAATGACGTCTCAATAAAATTTCACTGAGTTTGCTCTCCAGTAATTTATGTGAAAGCACCTAATAAATCATGCAGACTGATAGAGGTGTATTGTCAGAAGGTGACATAAAGCAGGAGTTGTCTCTGTGTCCTTCCCCAGTGCCAGGAAATTAAAGTCATTCATTTTTCTCTGCAACTTCTAACCAGCTAACAAAGGGAAAATGACGAGCGCCAAGTGACTTTATAGATTGTTAATTTTTGTTACATTTCTTTTATGTAACGAATCGGTGTCTAGTAGAATCAAAGAGTTAATGAGATATTGTGTGAGGTTGTCAGAGTGGTTCAGGGTTGTCAGGTTGTTAGTGTGTCTAGACAGATGGTGGTTCAGGGTTGTCAGGTTGTTAGTGTGTCAAGACAGATGGTGGTTCAGGGTTGTCAGGTTGTTAGTGTGTCAAGACAGATGGTGGTTCAGGGTTGTCAGGTTGTTAGTTTGTTAGTTTGTCCAGACAGATGGTGGTTCAGGGCTGTCAGGTTGTGTGTCAAGACAGATGGTGGTTCAGGGTTGTCAGGTTGTTAGTGTGTCAAGACAGATGGTGGTTCAGGGTTGTCAGGTTGTGTGTCAAGACAGATGGTGGTTCAGGGTTGTCAGGTTGTTAGTGTGTCCAGACAGATGGTGGTTTAGGGTTGTCAGGTTGTGTGTCAAGACAGATGGTGGTTCAGGGTTGTCAGGTTGTAGGTGTATCCAGACAGATGGTGGTTCAGGGTTGTCAGGTTGTTAGTGTGTCCAGACAGATGGTGATTCAGGGTTGTCAGATTGTTAGTGTGTTCAGACAGATGTTGGTTCAGGGTTGTCAGGTTTTAAGTGTGTCAAGACAGATGGTGGTTCAGGGTTGTCAGGTTGTTTGTGTGTCCAGACAGATGCTGGTTCAGGGTTGTCAGGTTGTTAGTGTGTCCAGACAGATGGTGGTTCTGGGTTGTCAGGTTGTTAGTGTCCAGACAGATGGTGATTCAGGGTTGTCAGGTTGTTAGTGTGTCAAGACAGATGGTGGTTCAGGGTTGTCAGGTTGTTAGTGTGTCCAGACAGATGGTGGTTCAGGGTTGTCAGGTTGTTAGTGTGTCAAGACAGATGGTGGTTTAGGGTTGTCAGGTTGTTAGTGTGTCCAGACAAATTGTGGTTTAGGGTTACCAGGTTGTGAGTGTGTCAAGACAGATGGTGGTTTAGGGTTGTCAGGTTGGTAGTGTGTCCAGACACATGGTGGTTCAGGGTTGTCAGGTTGTGTGTCAAGACAGATGGTGGTTCAGGGTTGTCAGGTTGTTAGTGTGTCAAGACAGATGGTGGTTCAGGGTTGTAAGGTTGTTAGTGTGTCAAGAAAGATGGTGGTTCAGGGTTGTCAGGTTGTTAGTTTGTCCAGACAGATGGTGGTTCAGGGCTGTCAGGTTGTGTGTCAAGACAGATGGTGGTTCAGGGTTGTCAGGTTGTTAGTGTGTCAAGACAGATGGTGGTTTAGGGTTGTCAGGTTGTTAGTGTGTCCAGACAAATTGTGGTTTAGGGTTACCAGGTTGTTAGTGTGTCAAGACAGATGGTGGTTTAGGGTTGTCAGGTTGTTAGTGTGTCCAGACAGATGGTGGTTCAGGGTTGTCAGTTGTTAGTGTGTCCAGACAGATGGTGGTTCAGGGTTGTCAGGTTGTTAGTGTGTCAAGACAGATGGTGGTTCAGGGTTGTCAGGTTGTTAGTGTGTCCAGACAGATGTTGGTTCAATGTTGACAGGTTGTGTGCACAAACAGATGTTAATTCAGGGTTGTCAGGTTGTTAGTGTGTCCAGACAGATGGTGGTTCAGGGTTGTCAGGTTGTTAGTGTGTCCAGACAGATGGTGATTCAGGGTTGTCAGGTTGTTAGTGTGTCCAGACAAATGGTGGTTTAGGAGTGCCAGGTTGTTAGTGTGTCAAGACAGATGGTGGTTTAGGGTTGTCAGGTTGTTAGTGTGTCAAGACAGATGGTGGTTCAGGGTTGTCAGGTTGTAAGTGTGTCCAGACAGATGTTGGTTCAGGGTTGTCAGGTTGTGTGCACAAACAGATGTTGATTCAGGGTTGTCAGGTTGTTAGTGTGTCCAGACAGATAGTGGTTCAGGGTTGTCAGGTTGTTAGTGTGTCCAGACAGATGGTGATTCAGGGTTGTCAGGTTGTTAGTGTGTCCAGACAAATGGTGGTTTAGGGTTGCCAGGTTGTTAGTGTGTCAAGACAGATGGTGGTTTAGGGTTGTCAGGTTGTTAGTGTGTCCAGACAGATGGTGGTTCAGGGTTGTCAGGTTGTGTGTCCAGACAAATGGTGGTTCAGGGTTGTCAGGTTGTTAGTGTGTCCAGACAAATGGTGGTTTAGGGTTACCAGGTTGTTAGTGTGTCAAGACAGATGGTGGTTTAGGGTTGTCAGGTTGTTAGTGTGTCCAGACAGATGGTGGTTCAGGGTTGTCAGGTTGTTAGTGTTTCCAGACAGATGGTGGTTCAGGGTTGTCAGGTTGTTAGTGTGTCCAGACAGATGGCGGTTAAGGGTTGTCAGGTTGTTAGTGTGTCCAGACAGATGGTGGTTCAGGGTTGTCAGGTTGTTAGTGTGTCCAGACAGATGGTGGTTCAGGGTTGTCAGGTTGTGTGTCAAGACAGATGGTGGTTCAGGGTTGTCAGGTTGTTAGTGTGTCCAGACAGATGGTGGTTCAGGGTTGTCAGGTTGTTAGTGTGTCCAGACAGATGGTGGTTCAGGGTTGTCAGGTTGTGTGTCAAGACAGATGGTGGTTCAGGGTTGTCAGGTTGTTAGTGTGTAAAGACAGATGGTGGTTCAGGGTTGTCAGGTTGTGTGTCCAAACAGATGGTGGTTCAGGGTTGTCAGGTTGTAGGTGTGTCCAGACAGATGGTGGTTCAGGGTTGTCAGGTTGTTAGTGTGTCAAGACAGATGGTGGTTCAGGGTTTTCAGGTTTTTGTGTGTCCAGACAGATGGTGGTTCAGGGTTGTCATGTTGTTTGTCCAGACAGATGGTGGTTCAGGGTTGTCAGGTTGTAGGTGTGTCCAGACAGATGGTGGTTCAGGGTTGTCAGGTTGTTAGTTTGTCCAGACAGATGGTGGTTCGGGCTTGTCAGGTAGTGTGTCTAGACAGATGGTGGTTCAGGGTTGTCAGGTTGAGTGTCCAGACATATGTTGGTTCAGGGTTGTCAGGTTGTGTGTCCAAACAGATGGTGGTTCAGGGTTGTCAGGTTGTCAGTGTGTCTAACAGTTATATAGAGTTGCTGTTGCCTACGGATATCCTACGTAACGTTACATAATGGGCTATGGGGGTGGTTTATACGGGAGAAATATGTTAATGCCCTCCCGTTAATTACCCCAGGTCATGTCACCATTGTCATTCTCCTCAGTAACGGTGACGGTAACGGTAACGCTAAATCAGAGGCGTAGCGGCCCTTCCCGGCGCCCGGGGACAAACTTTCGATTTTTGCACACCCCCCCCCCCTCGAACTTTTCATTTGCACCCCCCCCCCCCTCTCTCAACTCAAACTTTCTTTTTGCACCCCCCCCCCCCCCACCCCTCGAACTTTTCATTTGCACCCCCCCCCCTTCAAACTTTCAATTTGGCGCCCCCCTAAGGTTCGCGCCCGGGGACATATGTCCCCCCCCCCCCGCCCCCCCCCCTCGCTACGCCTCTGCGCTAACGTTAATGCTAACGCGGTAAGGATAGAATATAATAGAAAATAGAGACTTTTTTAAGTCATGCCCACTCTTGTTGAAGTGTTTGGCCACAGGAAGACCGTCTTCATTGTTGATTGATCGCAGGTGTTGACTAACCCTGTCAGACAATCGTTTCCCCGTTTATCCAATATAAAAGATGTTGCATCGCCTGCACTTGATGACGTAAACTACGTTGCGGGACTCACAGTTGAAGTGATTTTTAATTTTGAGGGTTCCCTTCGGCAGCTGGAGTGATTCAAAAAGGACTTTTGTGTAACCGCCGTTCGGTTTTGCCACAATTTTAAAAAACGCCTTAGTACTGAAACGAGACTAATACTTAAATTTGGTACACGGGCACCCGATGGCTTGAATGAACAGATATCTTTCACCTAACAACCCCCCCCCCCCTCACGCATACACCACGCCCCCAACCCCACCCCTATACGGTGTCCAAGCGTCCTTCTCACGCGTCTTTTCTTTTGGATATTGTGGCTAGAAGACAAGACGTGTTTTCACTGTCGAGCTAAGTCAAAAAATGTGTTACTGTTTGTCTTTATTTGTCTAATCTGTAATCACACTGTTGTGTGCTGACGAAGACCTTGGGTCGAAACGTCCATAGTACTTGTAACTGTCTTTAACTTGTGAGGTAACTAATACTATCTGTTTTATTACTAGTTTTAAGTATGTAGATTGTAATTATGTAAAACATAGTATTAATAGCATTTAATAGAATGTTCTAAAGTCCTCGGTTTTCATCGTGTTTTTTTTTAAATATTAACATTAAATTACCAAGTTCATCTGACTTGCTGCCCTCAACAATAGTTATACTTAGTTCAACCACCTTTACTGCCCACATTTATCACGCTCATTACATAACAAAGCATAGGATCAAAACAGAAAGCCGACACGGTGAAAAAATATTAAATACAAAATTGTTATTTTGGTGCGAATGAATGTTGTTACGAGAGATATGACGAATGCATGTTTGATGACGCGGATGAAAGAGAGTGAAGTTTTGCCATAGGAACGGGTTGTTATAGTATGCAAGCTAGGTAGTTCGGACTAGGGAGAATGTGAAAGATACTTCGTGTAATGTCGATAGTTTTATGTTTATACGAGAATAGTAGTTGAATAATTATTGACCAAGAAAATAATAGGCATTGTGTAAAGTGATTATCGCCTGTATCGTGGTGATGGGAATGCAGATGGTAGTGGTACGCTTTAAATGGTAGTAGATCACGTGATCAAACACGACACTCTCACAGCAGCCCTAACAGTCATGTATAAATGTGTCATCTAGTCCATATGGTCTTTGTGCTAAATTTCTCTTCTGCACATTTTTCGTTGTGTTTTTTCTGGTTGCGCATTTTTCTGTTTCTGTTTGCGCTTTTTTCCGTTTGCGCTTTTTTCTGTGTGCGCTTTTTTCTGTTTGCGCTTTTTTCCGTTTGCGCTTTTTTCTGTTTGTGCTTTTTTCCGTTTGCGCTTTTTTCCGTTTGCGCTTTTTTCCGTGTGCGCTTTTTTCTGTTTGCGCTTTTTTCCGTTTGCGCTTTTTTCTCTTTGCGCTTTTTTCCGTTTGCGCTTTTTTCTGTTTGCGCTTTTTTCTGTGTGCGCTTTTTTCTCTTTGCGCTTTTTTCTGTTTGCGCTTTTTTCTCTTTGCGCTTTTTTCCGTGTGCGCTTTTTTCTCTTTGCGCTTTTTTCCGTTTGCGCTTTTTTCTGTTTGCGCTTTTTTCTGTGTGCGCTTTTTTCTCTTTGCGCTTTTTTCCGTTTGCGCTTTTTTCTCTTTGCGCTTTTTTCTGTGTGCGCTTTTTTCTCTTTGCGCTTTTTTCCGTGTGCGCTTTTTTCCGTTGCGCTTTTTGTTTTGCGCTTTTTTCCGTTGCGTTTTTTTCCGTTGCGGTTCTTTCCGGCCACCCTTGCATAAGACCCTTCAAGCTACATGCATTCTTATTATACCCCCTCGCTTTCCCTCCCTCATCCCTCTTTCTATAGTTAGGTATGCAAATCGGTGACCGGAAAGAAGCGCAATGGAAAAAAGCGCAACGGAAAAAAGCGCAAAAAAAAAAATACGCAACGGAAAAAAGAGAGTGTGTTGTTGTGTGTGTGGGGGGGGGAGGGGGAAGGTTAACAACCAATACTTGCTTGGGGGAGGTTGGCTTAGTATATGTGGCATAAGAAGATTCTGGTTTTGAAGACATATTTTAGAGGATGAAATAAAAAAGGAAAGATGGTACTCTATAAGCACACTGTACGGAAATCATCAAGAATAAATTATTGTTACGAAAATATATATATATATATACATATACATATAATGAAAGAATGAAAACTAATTAAATAATAATTATTTGTTATTGATATTTATTGATGCTGCTCCTTCACAGTCAAAATGTTATATCTTACATAGGCAAGCAAACATATATAGGTATATATTATACAGTATGTACATTGGAACACACAATTGACTCATTACACAATGGCTACATCGTTACTTTCTTCCATCCAGTGACTCCAGACCTATCTGATGACTGGTTAATTTTTTTTTTTAAGTTGTAAATTTAATTTTAAAACAAATAAAAATAAATCAAGGTCATCATCTTTCATAATGCCGTTGTCCGGTCTCTGTCCGTGGTCTACTGAAGGCGTGGTCCATTGAAGGTGTGGGTCATTCAGCACGTGGTGTTGACATGGCAACCCAAACAACAAGGCGTCTGACATGCTCCATCCACAGCGCTCACTGTCAATACAGGAACAAAAGGAGTTTTAAGTTTAGCATTTGTTGAAAACTGCTTAACTATGCAAGATCGTATGTTTCTCAATTCAAGTAAATTAGAAGAGTAAATACTCCAAACCCCTGTATATTGAAATGAGCTATCTATCTAAACTATCGACCATAATACAAGGAGTTGCCAAATAAACAACGAGCAACGGAAATCTTCGCAAACAGATAAATGCGCAAAGACAAAAGCATGATATTAACACTTTCATTTCCGTCATATTTCATGGAAAAATGTTTTCTTAAAAGTTCCCTTGCGCATTTTTTAGTTGCGCAGTTGCGCATTTTTCTGGTCACACTTACAAAGCACTGACATTGTTTTTTAAACGATTTCATAAAAGAATTAAATTTTAGTATATTTTGAAAAGCTCGTAATCTTTTAAGACCTTTACTTTTTAATGTTTTAATCACCGTTCACAATTTAAAGAGCAGTGATAAATTAACAACAATTTTGTCAAATCTAGTATCCGAAGGTGTTAGGGGTTGAAGTGTTGTAGTTACTTTAAATTCTTTATTATAATTAATTTAGATTTTCAAGGTTTCCAGAACAGAGTCTTGATCAGTGTTTCTTTCAGGCACCTCTTCAAGAAGGGGCACCCCGAAGTACGTCTACCCCCCCCCCCCCCACCTCTCCGAACAAAATAGAATTTATATAGAAAATATATACTTAACTATTGTCCTCCCCCCCCCCCCTACACCCCAACCACCGGAGAAAAAGTCGGAAATAAACACTGGTGTTGAATATCAATTACTCTAAAACATCGAGAGATGTAGCTTTGTGTTAAATATTTTAAGCACTTGGGTGTGGTCTAAAACCCAAAACTCACCATAAAACACCACAACGTACGCCGCTGTTCCAACCAAAATTCCAATCATCCGTTTTGCGTCCATGGTGTCTCTATAAGAATAGACAAATAAATACTTTACTCTCAATGATGAGAACTTGGGCTGTAGTGCTCTGACGACAACGCCTCAGAATTTAGGAATAGTTCCAAATTTCGGCCATAGGGCAAGTGAAGTAGAGTTCACCTATTTCTGTGCCCTCGGCATAAGAAGGGATAGTGTAGTCAGCACCAGTGGCGTAGCAAGGTCAGGTGTCACCCGGTGCGGCACTTAATGGTGTCACCCCCCCCCCCCCCAGAGGCGTAGCGACCCTTCCTGGGGACAAACTTTCAAATTTTCGATTTGCACCCGCCCCTCAAGTTTTCGATTTGCACCTCCCCCCTCAAACTTTCGATTTGCAGCCCCCCCCCCCTCAAGTTTTTTGTATATATTTTGCTATTTTTTGCCTTGGTGTCACCCCCCCCCCCTAAATGGTGTCACCCGGTGCGATCCGCACCCCCCGCCCCCCCCCCCCCCTCGCTACGCCCCTGGTCAGCACTATGCCCAGCCACTTTATTTTCCCTAACGTGAGTTAGGTACCCATCAGAGCTGGGTGGGCTCAGTGACGTCGTCTGACTTGAACCCGGATTCGAAAGTGAGACTTTCGGATTAGCAATAGAGCACTGACCAGGCCGTCCCATATTTAGAGATAAGTTTCTAATATCTTAGAGATGGCGCTCTATGTGACAAACCCTTAGTGCCTTAAGCCAAAGGTACCTGGTTGTTCTTTCAGATAAAATCTGGATTCAGAACAAAACAGTACTTTAAAAAACGTAAACATAAACCATTTAAGAAACAAAAATGTAAAAGACATTCCTTAACAATATTATTTAATAGAATGTATTAATTTGTATTTTTGTGGAAAATTGATCACCATTTCAGAATTAAAAAGGAGAAAGTCAGTAGGTAAGATAATGTGTGTAGGAATTCATTAGCTCCAGGAATACATTAGCTCCAGTCAGTGGCGGAACTAGAAAAAAAAGGCTCCCCCGCAAAAAAAAAGTTTTTGCCCCCCCCCCTATATATATCTATATCTATATCTATATCTATATCTATATCTATATCTATATCTATATCTATATCTATATCTATATCTATATCTATATCTATATCTATATCTATATCTATATCTATATCTATATCTATATCTATATCTATATCTATATCTATATCTATATCTATATCTATATCTATATCTATATCTATATCTATATCTATATCTATATCTATATCTATATCTATATCTATATCTATATCTATACTATATCTATCTATATATATATATATATATATATATATATATATATATATATATATATATATATATATATATATATATATATATTTCCTTTTTTTTTTTTTTTTTAATTTCGGAGTTGGGGTACACCTTACCTGGCGACTCTAAAGCCTAGGACTTAGAGTACGTACTATTTTTAATTATTTTCTTTTTAATTAAGTAAATTAAAACAACAGAGGTACACGAAGAGTAGCAAACAGATGCAGCTATGCCATTGTTTAATCTGAACTTTCTCATCATCTCTATAATTCAATTATTTAATTCAGCTAGCTGTTTGCAATTAAAACTTGAGCCTGATAATAATTTAAAATTACAAAACAAAAGCTAAGCGATCCTTTTTATAAGATTTTAAAAATTATTCTAGTTTTGATTTACACTGCAATCAATGTTTTATATTCCTCAAAATTATTTATGAATTTCTTTGTACATTTAGCCATTTTTGGGAGCAAACTTGTAGGTTATTTTTCTTGGTTAATTTAAATTTATAAGTGGAAATAAGCGTAAGCGAATTAATTTTAAAAAGTTCTTTGTTCGGATTTAATTAAATTAATTCACATGAAATTAAAATGAGCAAGATAAAAGCCTACATTTTCCATATACAAATGTATCTATGAATATCAGGGCAAAATTATCTATAATACTGTATTTACGACACTTTATTATATTATATATAGTGTCACATTTAAATTACTGTATTTATAGTACTGTATTAGGAAACATTTTTAAAGGTAAAAACATGCCAATACCACTGTCAGTTTGGTGATGGGGGGGGGGGGGAGAGACGACAAGGCACAAACCGAAACCTTGCTCAAGCTTTACCCTCCCCTGATTTGTAGTGTGGTTTTCTACAAACAGTAAATATTAAATATAAATATCATCAACCTAGCTGTAACGGTACTCAAGTTATCGTGTTTACAGCCACACACACACACACAGACGTACGGACAAATTTGCAAAATTATGTTTCTCCGACTCAGGTAGGTGTAAAACATCGATATCTGTGAAAATCTCGATTTATTATTTTTATTTTTTTTTGCACGATTACAAGACTTTCTCTTTACTTCGTATTTTTTTTTTTTCGAGCCGAGTCCTGCCAGGCGGTGAAACCGCACAAGCAGCATCGAGGACATAGGACAGGGGTCGGCAACCTTTTGAGGCGGAAGAGCCAAAAGTTACAATTTTCAAAATTTCCCTGGTTTTAAAGAGCCACTAACATTATTTTAATTTCAAATATTTTATTTTTTTATTAAGATTATTAGTAATTGTTCAAGGAGCTGGAGAGCCGCATCTTGATATCAAAAGAGCCGCATGCGGCTCGCGAGCCGCAGGTTGCCGACCCCTGACATAGGACGACGGCGCAGCTTTACTTCGTATAGTATATACTAGTATATACGATTTTTTTTTTTTTTTTTTTTTTTTTTTTTAGTTGAGTTCATTATTTATTAGCATTTTTAAAGCTTAACAAAAACTGGCAAATTTCTGTTTAAATTGTAAGAAAAGTGAAACCACTAGGGTGCTCTATTTTGAGCAAAGTCATAAGGCTTACAAAATGACCAGTATCCATAAACTGTTGAAAGTAAGAAAAAATACAACCAAAACATAATAGCTGAATCTTACTATTGAATTACAAATGGATCTAGCAGCTTATTATAGCTTTTTTAAAATTTACATTTTTTGCAGGTCAACATAATACAAAATATCTTTGGTTTTATGAGGTGTGAATACATCAATGCAAAATAATTAACTAATCATTTTAGTTTAGAAAGATACTGATTAGATTGTTAAAAAGGATAAAGATTGTGTGGCCATTGACACATTTTTACAAACCAAAGTGATAATTTTTTCATTAAATTTTAATTTTGTCATGTTTAAATAACAAAATATTTGAACAGAAACTAATACACAACATTGCCAGTTAAGCAAAGTTAAGTTGTAAAACACCAAAGAACTAAACTTTCATTAAGTTACTACCAAATGAAAGCCAGCCCTAAACCTCACAAACACATAAAAAATTATTACTAATATTTAATTATGGTACATAAATACAAGTTTGTTTGAATAATAATATGTATTATGTAAAGCTGTGTGTTTGCTGCAATTTGTTAAAATGATGACTGAAGATAACTGATATTATATACAAAAGTTTTAACATTTAGGGAGGTTTATGTACAATTTTCTTGTATGTTTAAATTGTTTAGCGAGGCATGTTTAGCAGATAATTAATTTTTAGCAGATTTAACCTTTTCAATTTGAGGTGTCCTACTATTAAAAAGACGTAGGAACTGAAAACTAAGTTATAGCACCATGCTCAATAGTTCCCATAATTGAAAAAACTTAAGAACATTTTACAAATATTAACACAACCGAAGTATAAAGAAAAGATATTTATATTAATTTTAAATAGGTGAAACATAAAATGATATTTATAACTAAATCAACTCTTTGATTTTAAATTTCTTTAAAAAGCAAGTGCAGGGAATGTTTAAGTAAATGAACAAAACTAGTACACTAAATTATAATTCTTCAATACAAAACAAAGTTTTAATTTGAAAAAAAAAAAGTTATCATTGAATCATCACTGTTCATCTACAAGAGGCCTGCCTCTTCTCATCTGTCTATACTGGTATTTTAAGCTCTTTGAACGATATGCTGTCAATCCCAGTTTCAAAAGGAAAGCCAAAGATGCAACACCAAGCAAGACAGTGGCCATAACAAATGAAACATTTGATGGGTTGTAGTTTTTGGAAATGATGGCTGCCAATGCCCAAATCATAACAGCATATGGTGCAAGAGCATAACGGGTGTATTTCTCAAAAGCAGTCAGATCTAATATTATGTAAATAGCAAACAAAAATGACAAGACCCCCATGCATATAATTGAAGAATTCTCACTGTAGATTGGGTGCCTCCATTTATATGTCAAAACAACACCAAGATTAATTACGGTTGCCACTGTGGACCATGTTGCGTACATACCAATACCATTTACTACTGCAATATTCAGAAAGTTAAGATCAACATTTCTTCCTTGGTCAACCAAAACATCCTTGAACATGGCCACCCGTATGCAAATAATAGCAAATGTCAAAAACAAAGAAAGGGTAATGCAAGCAAGAAAAACTAAAGAAGCCATAAACAGGATACGATCCCATAAAAACAGCCAACCAATGTTAAACGCTGAACTCAAGTTAAAAAAAAATAAGAAATGCTGGTGAGAGAATGACGGGGTTGAGGTATGCAGGTCCGTTGTTTGTTGTGCGGCAGCTCAAAGCAAGATTATAAATCACCCAAGCAAACTGATGAAGGTAGATAACTCCCCAAATAGAAAAAGCCCAACCGGCTGGAGTGATGTCGAGGGGGTACTGGTAGGAAACTGTTGAAATTCCACGAACAAACAAGCCATGACTAATCTCTGGATTACCAGCGAGGAGATTCAGAAATAGCACTGCAAATAGTAGGAGGGCTGTAAATATAATGAGGCAGATAAAAACTGGGCTATTTCTAAGTTTCTGCTCAACAATGTTGAAAGAGCAGGCTGCTTTCTGACCAATAGTCCGTCTAGTTGCTTCTTTTTTCGGTGCTTCTTTTTTGTCCACAATCTTTTTTGGAGAAGTCATTTTTCGTCTTATCAGTGTTTCTAGGACAACAGCAAAGTCCTCTCTTGATATCGGTAGTTATAATATTATAAAAACACCATACTCAGTAACAACAAAGCATCGTCTGACTGAGCTAATCTACGCCTTGTATACCAGGGGTCGGCAACCTGCGGCTCGCGAGCCGCATGCGGCTCTTTTGATATCAAGATGCGGCTCTCCAGCTCCTTGCACAAATACTAATAATCTTAATAAAAAATAAAATATTTGAACTAAAAAAATGTTAGTGGCTCTTTAAAACCAGGGAAATTTTGAAAATTGTAACTTTTGGCTCTTCCGCTTCAAAAGGTTGCCGACCCCTGTTGTATACGATAAAATAAAATGAATCAAAATCATTATGATTCTATATTTGAAGGGCTCAGTGGAAAAAGTACTTAAGTGTATTTTGAGAGTTTTGAGAAAAATGAGTGCAAAGTTTTTAAATTGTTATTGAAATACCAAAACAGCTGATGCAGAGTATTCAAATTAAGCTACTTCGGTACTTTTTCCAAGGCCCAAATTTACAGGGATGGTTAAGGGGAGGTAGTCAAATAATATACCGGTCTTAACTCATTTTTGAAAAAATGTAACTTAAGTACTTTTTCCACTGAGCCCTTCATTTATAAACAAGAACCTTTACTTTTATAGAAATCAATTTTTAAAATCAGCTAGCTGTTTTAATTTAAAGTTATTGTCCAAATAAAAGTTTAAATTAAAAAAAATTTTAACACTGACATCGTTGTATAAATAAATTTTAATATTTTTAACAAAACAAAAAAAAAACACTAGTTTGCCTTTTATTTAATTATTTATGAATGTATTAGCTTACTTAACGATATTTTGGATTGTAGTTATGAGTTGTCTTTCTTGAATATTTTAAATTAAAGAATTGAAAATAATTCTGATGAATTAATAAATCAATTGCTAGGTTCTGAACTAGATGCATTAAACTTTTTAAAGGTCCTAGACACCGGCCTTTATTTTACAAAATTTCAAAGTACACTGTTCTTTTCTCTAAACAATATTTTCGTAAAATCATACCACTACCAGTGTCGGTTTTGTGATGGGGGCGGGGGGGGGGGGGATACAATGTTTGTATTACATTTTCATGTTTACCGAAAATTGTGGAAGATAATAACAAGCTAACTGGTCAAAATTATATAAACACGTAAGCTTGATTTGTGCAATGGTTTTGAATAAATTCATTTTTATAGATATAGGACTCTTTAGTATGCCTTATTTAGATAATAATTAAGAGAATAAATTGCTTTTTAATTTACATTGTACAAAACTATTTAAATGAGATTTATGGGCACCCGTGTTTTAATTAAGGGCAGTAAGTCATGGAAGTAGTTTGAAAGTTTGCCTATCTTTCAAAGTACACCTCTTGTAGATTTTTTATTTTTCTACGCAAAAGTGTGTGTTAGTTACTGTAGAACAATCACTGCTACAGTAGACCTGTTTGTTTTTTACAAAACCACTATCAAGGTGCACAAAAACATTATTTATGAATAGAAAATTCATTGTTTTTTTGGTCGGAATTGGGCCCCTAAACGTCGTGGGGCCCCCCGCATTGCGGGGTCTGGCGGTACTGTAGTTCCGCCCCTGGCTCCAGTAATACATTAGCTCTAGTAATACATTAGCTCCATGAATACATTGGCACCTCGTATATTTTAGCACCACGATAGAAGCACGTCTGGTGTGAATAAAATGAAATAAAGCTACACTGCAAGGTCGATTTTTATTGCATAGGTAATTCGATGTGTTTAAATAGCAAAGGCGGCAGGGCATGCCACATTATCCCCTTGTATGCTGCGGTCATTGAAACAGATGACATTTACTTCATCTGCACCATGTGTCTTGGGCACAAAGGGGAAAATATGATGATGAAATAATGAAGGAGGGGGGGGAGGGGGGATCGGCCTGGTCGGGTAGGTAGAGCTGAGTGTTGCTTAACCGAAAAGTCCCGGGTTCCAGGCAGACTGGGCTAACAGCAGGGGACAGAAACAAATCAAGAAGGGGAAAAAACTCTAAAATCAATAACTGTTGCCTTGCAGTTTGTTCTTATGGTCAAATGTTATTGAAGCAAATAAAAAGAAAAGCAAGCTGAAATCGGAGTTTACGGCCTATGTAGGACATAACATGTTGACACGTAATACTTAAATGTTGTGGAGGAGATACTGTTCGACATTACAATTAAGAACGAAGAAGAGAGACGGATGAGTAACAGAAGTATCTATGTTATATTTATAAGTAATGTCGATTTTTATTTCAGTTGAAATTTATTTCTAAATTATATATACTTACGTTTAACACATATATTTTTAAAACGAAAAATCTACTTAGAGGTAGCCTGGAGTTAGTATACAATGAAATATCTACTCGGTAGCTAGACAGAAGATATATTACAGCAAAACCTACTCACGTTCACAGCAAGCGACGCACGGTATCAGGTCAGCTGAAGCTCTTGTGACACTTACCCCCCATAATACCTGGCCTTATACAGCCACAAGGTCATTAAATCAAGGATTAGGAGTCTTTGTTTAACTGGCTCTGTGGCAAGGGTTGTTTGTCTAAGAAGCGGTTCATTACCCAAACTGCGATCTTTGACGTATCTCACCCTACAGCTCAGGGGCGGAACTCTGGTGTATTTAGGGTCATCTGTTTATAACGTACACAAAACTGGACCCTGTCCACACGTCTTCACTTTCAACACCCCCCCCCCCACACACACACACACACACAAACACACCTTCGACCGATGTGGACGTCCACAAAAATTTTGAAGACCTCTCAAAGCTTAGTTCTAATTTATTTTTTCAGTAGAATGTATTTTGCATCTATTGATGTTTCTTTTTTTTAAAGTGCAATTTTGAGAAAGATTGTAAACTGAGGTGTAACGTCATTCTGGCTTTTGGTAACGACGTGTAACGTTGGGAGGGGGGAGGAGGAGGAGGTAAAAATCGTAAAACTGCTTGACCCCGTAATCTGTTTACAGTATGATCTCGATTTATTTATTTTTTAAAATTTTAAATGAGCAACGCCGTCTGAATTTTACTTTTAAATGCAAGATGTTTGTTTTAAAATGTAAGTAATTCGACCCGAACCCCCCCCCCCCCACCCCATCGCCCTATGCTCCACAAGAAGCCCACATGAAAGATACTATCTTAGATAGTGATGATCTTAACAGCCTACTATGCCAATATATTATAAAAGATGAGAAAGTGATACCCCCCCCCCCCCCCCCCACCTCAGCCATGTCCATATTTTAATTTGACGTTGGCTCCACCGTCTAGTGTGTGGGCGCGGCAACCCCCCACCACCACCACCCCCTTCCTTGTGTGGTGGACAAAGCCTATCCTACGTCCACGAGTGGAAACGCCCTGAGTTATAGTGTTCTTTTCATTGCCGTCCGCCTTCGTTGTTTCATTCAACTACGTAGGTATTGCACGTAGATATATAATCTTGCGAAAATCAATATATTCACTCAATAGCCGTCACTGTTGCTAAGTGTATCCATACATATAAAAAACGTGATCATAATTAATTATAGAGTATAATTACTCTCATCAGTAACTCTATATTACTATTTTAGGTATCGATGGTCGATTGACCTTCTATCTGCTTAATTGTTCTGTGATGTGATGTGAATGTGTATCGAGATCGATTACAGTAATTTATGGGGTGATGGGGATAAACGATAAGATGGGTTGTCAGCAGATGTTCATGAAACCTTTTACGACTATAGAGACTGCGGTTAAGTTCTCTGGGGTAACTTAGTAATAGTTGTGTGTGTGTTTTTTTTTCTATGAATATGTCTGAGAGGTCGATGAAAAATAACGTCATGTAGTTTTAACCGCATTTTTGCCATCATTCTGTACCCATCACCACAAGCAGAGTTTCTTCCGGGCATCTCTTCGGGGGAAATGGAATTTATATAGAAAACATATACTTTTACCAGCGTCGCCCCCCCCCCCCCCCCCCCCCGGAGAAAAAATCTGGAAGAAACACTGTCCACAAGAAACTCCTCCCCCCCCCCCCCTCAATCCCCCCTAAAAACATACAGCTCTTCTTTACGTTTAGTAGCACACTAGGCATGCTGCCCAGCTTCGCTTAGGCTTTCGAAAACATTGAGAATGTGAATGCTTAATTAATTCGTCATAGGGTCGGTCTACGACCTCAAGAGTTATGAAGAGGTTCCTCCGTGGACATTTTTTTTTCGATTTATAGCTCATATAAGGTACCGGTCAGTCGAGGTCAGTTTTGACCCCCTCATCGTAGACTTTTCGGCCAACCGGCCCCCGTGCTCTGTCGCCCCAAGGCAAGATCCTGCCAAATTTGAAGCGCCTGCGGCGCCGGGAAGTGCCTTATCGGACACCCGACAATCTAGATCTAGATCTAGAATACTAATTGAATTTTTTTTTTTAAGTTTAGTCCGAGCAAAATAAAATAAAAAATACATTACCCAAGTTGACTTGGTGGGTCTCGAACCCGCAACACCTGCGTGGTTTATAGTACACTAACATCTCCGCTATTTAGGCACCTTATAAAATACAGAGAATGAAAGACGTATTTTAAAATCTTAACTTACGCGTATATGCCTATTCTTTCAAATTAATTTTTTTATCCCAAATTAACCAGTTCCAATCAAAGATTTTGTATAAATAAATGTTATGAGCTTAGGCCGGAAAAATTGTATTGTATACATTTCATAGTGTACGTAGATCTAAATCAAATTTGAATGAAATAGTTCATTTCTTTTTTATTTTAAACACGGCAGATGACGTCATTAGTAAGCAATAGTGTCGTCACAGTTTTATGCGTTCTTTTACACATCTATTAATGCTTTTCCGGTTGCATAAATAATACTGTTTCTCTACATTCGAATACGCCTTGATTTTTTATTTTTCTTCTTTAAATAAAACTGTGGTTATACATTTAAAACATCTAACATATTATTTTCAACAAAAGTCCGTATAAAGTTCTCCATATATCGCTGCCGTTTCTGACGTGATGTCCGGCGAAAATTTTTTGCGGACAGAGAGAGAGAGAGAGAGAGAGAGATGTGCGAACGTAGCCCATTATAGTATTAGATTGATTTGAAAAACAATTTCTAAGATATCACACAGATACTGATCCAATTGTGTTAGTGTAATACATTGTAATCTAAATTGTGCTGAAAATGTTCTAAACATTAATCTTGTGTTACGTTATAATTCATTACATTAAGAGCCCTCTCTCCTAAGGTTAAAAAACACAAAACCTTCCGTAACCTGCCATAACTTGTAGTCGGTGTAGTTGTTGGTTGTTTTTTTCTTTGCGTTTTTTAGTTGATTGAAAAAAGTGGCAAATGAGGATATTTAAAAAAAAAAGAAAAAACACTTTTAAACTGCAGAAGCAATTAATGTATTAAAAGTAAGTGTATAAATGAAGTCGGTACCCGACTTGAAATAAGAAGACAACCCATGTATGACCATGCGTAAAATTAACTTGGAAGTTATCTACCTTTATTCAATAAAAAATAAATATTAACAAAGCTAGTTAATTTCACTCAACTCATTTATCGTATGTATCCGAAAACTAAAGCTCTTGCGAAATAGTCATCTTTTTCTAATGTCGATGTTCATTTGTTTGTTTTTTATTTACTATCTTCAGACTAAGATGAGTCAATAAAATCATTGAGTAATCAATATACTTTGCAAGTGTTGTCAGGTAAACATCTTTTGTAGACCAGGAATAGTTAAACAGCTATTGAATCAATAAGAGATGTTGAGTACCCTGAGCGAAAGCAGCTAGACAAAGAGCAACAGCCGTCTGAACCTGATATTACATCAGTCAGTAAATGACCCTTGGAACTTGTAGATTTGTTAGTTTCTTCAAATTCAGCATTAGATTTTCTGTGGTAGACTTTACCATACTTGAGAGGTAACCTTTAGAAAAAGGTAGACTGAGTAATACCATAGGGGCACAAGCCCAGGAATTTAAGTCAGGTTAGCAAAGCATGAGCTCTGGCTTTGCTCACGTTAAGCTCAAACTAAAGGATTGTTCCATATCCTTGAGAGGTAACCATTAGAAAAAGGTAGAATGGGTAATACCCTAGGCTTGGGGAATTCAGTCAGGTTAGCATAGTCATAACCTAACAACAAATGGTAGAGAACACAACTGTATTATGTATATTTAATTTTATTTAAAAACAGAAACAACCAGCAACATGTACATCTGAAATGTATTTGTCTAACTTTACAATACACTCTTGGCTAACACTGTTATTGCTCCACTCTACGGCTAAATGGGGAGGATTAAAATGATATCACATGGAACAAGTCAGTAATGAGAAAATTAAAATCTATCCCACCAACCACCATGAGACTTATGAATGTGGAGATTGTTTCATGAAACAATGAAAGTCACGTGATCGAGATTACAAGTTTAATTATTCACATTCTGTATGGTCAACTGTAGTAGTGTACAGTCACCTGTTTTCTACATCTAGTTTGATTAATGGAGTAGCAAATAAAATAGTTTAAGAACTACTGGTTCAAGAAAAATTAAATCATGTTCAAGTATCTGATTAGAGGATGAAAAAAAAAAATTCTCGTATGGGCTCATGTGGGTTTTTTTTTAATATCATACAGTTGACAGCATACCAATTACACACCCCTTGCACAACAGATGAACCCCTTACACAACAACTTATTTGCAAATCTCTCAAGGTGCAAACAAAACATTTTACCAAAATGTAAGTGCAATAAAAACCTATAAAATATTAAGCATTTTAAAACAAAGTTACAACATTTCAATGTTAATCTAACCTATAAACTATGCTAACAGAAAATGACAATAAAATCTTTCATATTGCCATAAATTCAATGTTTAAAAATATCTATTTGGAACTGATTAACTATTAATGGACAATCCAGGTAGTTTATCAAGATAAGCAAGAGCTAGTCCATTCAATACTATCACACATCACAAAGCAAAAAAAAAAAAAAAACTAATAAATAATCGTTGAATAAAATCTCACAAAGTATTATGTTACACATACCAAAAGAAAAAAATTTGATTAAGTGTCAAAGAATTGTATGGAGAACTTATATTTTCATATGTCATCCCAACCCATTTTAGAATTAAAACTATCACATTTGTTGCATTCAAATGTAGAACAATAACAATGTTCAATTGTTTCAGGCTTTGTTTAAAAATATAAAATAAAAAAAAAAGAAAATACAATTTAAGTTAGTGTGGAGTTGCCTTGAATATGCTAGATTAACTAAGACACTCTGACATGGTTGGTACCTTCTGAAAATAGATTTCTAAAAGCTGGGTTCTATTTCTTTTAGGAGTCAATTCCAGATTTCACTGCTGCAAGACTTTGAAATTAAATTTATAGCTGTAAGTAGAGTTATTTCTTTTGAGCATTGGCAGCAATTTTCTTGAGGTGTGGAGTGTCGAAGGATTTGGGGCGCTCAATCGGGAGGCCAAGAGCACGATCCCATATCAATGAAGCTAGGACTCCCAAAGCTCTTGATACACCAAACATAACTGTGTAGTAATTCATTTCTTTCAAGCCAAAGTACTGAAAAAAAAAGTAACAACAAATCAGGTTAACTATTCCAGAATCACAGAATGGGACAAACCCATCACCAATAAATCAACATGATGCAACAGCCAATATACATAGTATTTTGCATTTAATTATGATCCTGCACAAAAAAAAAAAGCACTATTCACACTTACAAAATGGAGCACAAGAATTGTTTTGAATGAGAAAGAATAATGAATAACTTATTAATTTGCAAAAAAAGATTTTCTGATGGGGAAAATTAAATCAATTTACAAAAAAAAAAAGGTTTATTTTCCTACTCCAAAAATTTTAACCAGAAAAACAACAAAGTAAATTTAGATAGTATTTAAAAGCAATAAGAGAATCCTTGAAGCAGTGTGGGACATTGCTATGGTCTTACTATCCCTAGCACTAAATGGCATAGAAAGTCATCTCCAATTAATGCAATAAATAATCCACAAGGAGGGGGGGGGGGGGGGGGGGGGGGGGGGAAGAGAGAGAAGAATTCAGAGTAAAAAAAAATTATTAACAGACTTTCTCTTGTTATTGTTGGGTACATAATATTCATATTAAGATAAGTTTCTAATTTACCTGTAAGAGCACTCCACTGTGAGCATCCACATTGGGCCATGGATTCTTTACCTTTCCTTGCTCAATAAGGATATCGGGTACTATCTTGTAGATTTGAGATACTAATTTAAACAGTGGATCATTGGGTAAATGTTTAAGAGCAAATTCTCTTTGGCAAGTATAACGAGGATCAGTTTTACGCAGCACAGCATGTCCATAACCAGGAACAACCTGTAGATAAAGAATTATTTTTGAACAAACGGATAATGAATTATTTTACATTATTTTAAACTTAGTATTGGCATTAAAATATATCTAAATTAAAAGGGTCTTGCCTGTCCTGATTTGAGTGTGTTTTTAATAAATTCAGTCAACTGAGCATCTGTTGCATCACCACCAAAGTTTTCTCTAATCTTTGTAATCCAAACAAGTACTTCCTATAAAGATTCATGAAAAGAAGGTTCTAATTCAATAAAATTAGTAAAATAAACAATTGGCACAAAGAGCAACATAAAACATTAACAAAATGGAATTAGTAAAATACAGTAAATCTATGAGTAAATTGTAATTCAAGTGTTGACTTGGGACAAAGCTTCAAGTACCTGATTGGCTAGTCCATGCAGTGGTCCTGCCAGTCCATTCATGGCAGCAGCAAAAGATAAATATGGGTCAGAGAGTGCACTGCCCACTAAATGACAGGTGTGTGCACTGACGTTGCCACCTTCATGGTCACTAGGGAATAAAATATTTTAATTAGAAAAAAAAAACATTTTTACTGCTCCAAATGAAAATGAATTTTTTTAATTGTGATAAACTGTAGCAATTATACATTAGAAAATGTAGTTTAGCATAACACTATCCTACGGTAATAACTTACGTATGAATGGTAAGATAAAGACGCATCAGCTCAACGAAATCAGGGTTATCAAAACCCAGCATACTGGTATAATTCCAGCTCCAATCCTTCTTTTTGTCAATGGGGTCTGGGGGGTTACCTTCACGGTAGAGATTGCGATAAATAATAGCAGCAATAGTTGGAAGTTTTGCAATAAGATCCATAGAATCTTCATAGCACAGCTGAAAAACAAAAGTTACATTTTAATTTGCTTGCCAAAGACTCATGATGCACACTCATGTAGGCTAAACAGTATTTTGGTCATTCTATGAATAAGTTGGTGCCTGACTACAGACTTAACATTATGCTTACCTCCCAATACTTTGATTTGTGCACACCTTCAGCATAAGCTTTGGCAAATTTACTCTCAGTATTCATGGCAGTCACAGCACAACTAAATTGAGACATGGGGTGGAGTGAACTAGGAAAATTGTTCAGCATAGTAATCACATGGTTGGGAATATCTGCTCTGTCATTCCATTCCTGAAAGAAGAAAATTTCATTGTGTGTAAAGGGACACTGCGTGTGAGGGGGTCAACATAACAAAGCTATTTAGACAACTCACTGGCTGTTTATGCATATTATGTTCATTTCCACATTCTAGCCTATTTGAAAACAGGTAAGAGTGAAAGAATTTTTTATTTTATAAATGCTGAAAGAGGATTGTGTAATTATTATGGTACTACATCCATGTGGTGAGATTAGACTGCTGCTTGTGTGTAGTCATTTATAATGTGGCCATGACTGCCAACTTTTATTCATTACACATTTTGTAAAAGTACTGCAATTGCTTTCATCACATTTTAAAACAACATTAGTTTAAAATGTTTAAAATGTTAGAAATAATTACATGTATGCAAATAATTTATAGTGGGGGAAAGATTTTAAGTTTGACTAAATGATTAACCATGTTAAGGACTTAATACCTTGGTAATTGAATTGACTTGCTCAGGTGTAGGAATCTCTCCAGTCACCAGTAACCAAAATAAGCCCTCAGGAAGTGGCTCTTCACCACCAGGAACCTTGGGTAGAAGTTTCTGGCATTCTGGAATACTATAGCCTCTAAATCTAATACCTTCTTCAGGGTCAAGGACAGAGGTCTCTGTAACCAATCCACGGATGCCTCTCATTCCTCCATACATCTACAAATAAGCATGTAACAAATATATGATAATTTAAAAACTTGAAACAACTATCAATACCGCTAAACAAAGTATAGTATAAAGTAAGAAATCTTAGAACTAACCATGTCAACTGTAACCTCACCAACTTTGGTGGTACCAAATTGTTTTCTGAATTCTGCAACTTCCTTTTGCTTTTCAGGAACAATTTTTTCAAGTACTTCTTTCAAGTTCTGCAGGTTCACAAAAGCATTTATGTTAAAAATATCAGGTTGCAAAATAAAGTAGAACATTACAACTTTGTTAAATCTGAGATATTTTTGTAAATGGCATTTTTATTTAAAACTGATTTAATTTAATATTAAAAGAAGGATATGACATTGAAAAAACATTTATGGTTAAATAAAAAGTGTATGTATTACAAGTTCAAAGCATAATGTCCCTAAACATTTTGAAGAAGGGAGAAAAAAAATACATGTGTGAACGTCAATAGTTAATTTAAACTAATCATAGTAAATAAATTCCAAAATATGAAAATATAAAACAGTTATAGTATAAACCATAACCATAAAAAATAACATTAACTTACTGTGCTAGTACTAGCCTGACGACTACCCACTGTGACAGATGGCAACACAGCATTCTGCAAATAAAAATTGTATCAATTTTTTTTCTCTAAGTAAACAATTTGACCAAATTTGAATTTAACACAAAATTTAAAAAGTAAATGGTTGTACCATTTGGGCCTAGCCATTTTATTAAACTTTTAGATAGTGATTTTTATCTGTTTTGTAGCCTAGCATTTATATTGAGAGCTAAATAGAGCAGTACAAATGTATCATGTTATCAAATTTTTATCATTCTCACATCAACAGTTTTTTTTTTATTAATAAGACAACTAAATCTACACCAATCTAGCTTAAATGTCTAGCACAGTGATATCAAATTGTTACAAAGCTCTTAATGTCTGAAGTGCATATTTGTCATAGATTTGACAACTGAATAGGACTATGATAGGAAGTTTCGGACAGATAATTGCAAAAGGGTGTAGATCTACATCAAATCCCTTTCCAGGTAATATAGATTCTGTTCATAGATTTCAGCCAAGAAGAGATAGCAAATGATGTGATTTGTGACACACATGATCCTGCTGGAGGATCAAAAAGGGGTAATCTATCATTTTAGGCACAAAAAATCGACCGAGGCTATAATGTGCGACAAAGTTGCCTCATTATTAAGGCTGTAATCGAAGTATTTTTGACATATTTGTGTAAACTATTATAGATAATTGACTTATAAACCAAAATCAATAGCTAAATATATCAACATAGGCCAGAAATTAACTTTAAATAGCAGTGTTTGCGAGCAACATTTGCTATATAAACAGCAGCCATTTGTAAAATAGAGTGGCTTCCCCTGAATCTCACGCAATAAGTTTACAAAAAAAAAATTAACAAGATGGCTGCTGAAGTAAACGTGCTTTGATGCATCTGAAGAAAACACCGCTAGTCTTTATTTATTAGGCCTACTGAAAAATTTTAATACAATTGTTTAAAAACAGGTAGATCTGCATTAATGAAACTTTGAAACATTTTTGTAACTTTCAAATTTAATGAGGCACCTTCTTTTCACATTACTAGCCTCAGCCGATTTTACATAGATCTACCTAAAGTGATAGGAATCAATATCAATGCTCATGAAAATGCTCACCTACTAAACACCATGTAATATTTTTTATAGAACACCTGATTTAACAGGGAAGAAACACAAAGCAGGCAGATTAAAACCACCACTAGATCTAGAGATTTAGATATAGTGGCACTAGTCCTAACACATGTTTAATTTGCTAAAAATTAGGCCTAAAATAGAGGACTAATAAAAAAACTAGTCAATTTCTCTCTAGAATTCGGCCTAGATGTATTGATTCTTTAATCTAGATCTAGGTAAAACTCCATTTTAGCATATTTTATTTGCCACTTCGTGTACACCTCCGGTTGAGCCTATTTTATTATAAACACAACCGAAACACACATCACAAAAACATTTAGAAAACACTAGGATTAGTTCTAGATCTAGGCCTACTTATTTTTTTATGAATGTGTGATTTAGCCTAATTAGAAACGGTAAAAAAACATAAATAAGCATTACAGTTCCAATAAAATAGCGTGAGAAAAATCCCTACATGGTCGAGAGTTCACAGAGAGTTCACACTGACTTTAATTTTATTTAGGCCTACTTGCAAACGTCATAGCTTGGGCAATTGCTAGATCTAGACGTCTAGATCTATTTGATTCTTGAAATTGTGGTGGCCTCAGTGTTGGGGTCATTGTGAGTTCATGTAGATATGTTTTTTTATAGTATCATGCGTACAAGATACTTTTAACAATACAAACATTACATAACCACCTTGCAGTTATGAGTTTGGTACTCTTCTTAAATCTTTGGAAGTGGCTATTGGGACCCGGGTCCTAATAGCCTCGGCCGCTATTGGGACCCGGGTCCTAATAGCCTTGGCCGCTATTGGGACCCGGCATTAAGTTCAACCTGTATTAAAATTATACCTTTTATGTTTATTTGATTTTTCTTGTGGATTTGCTCGTATTTTGTTGTCTTTTATTGTAATTAGTTATGCGGATTATCTAGCGTTAGTTCTTGTGTTGCTATTTCTAAATACCCTATATTTAGCTGTATATACAAAATCATTAAATACATGTGTTTATCGTAAAACGTCGTGGTCGAGAGGAGAACGCAGTACCTCCCGCATCTCGATCAGTTACGGGATCGGAACCTATCAAAGCTCTAGTTTTTGCGTGAAGTTAAGTGTATTTATCTAAGTTTAATATTCCGTTGAGTTGAAGCTTAAGTGTTGGGTTTTTTTTAAATTTTTTTTTAAAACAGATTATTTTTTTTCTAGATTTAGGTTTTCAAACACGCCAATTATAAAAACATCGTTGCTCCATTGATCGCCAGCTCGCGTTTTCTGGTCAGCGCAAGAACAATACCGACACGGTCTAGCCAGGGTCATTGAGTTCACAGTGTAGGCGTATAGCATACGTCATAGCAAGACCATTGCTATGAGCTTGTCGAGATTTGTCGTCGCCGTATAGCCCCCCCCCTCCCCTCCCAGCAAGAGGGAAAACCGGATTTGGGATCATTGTGAGTTCAAATGTTACGTATTGCTTCTATTATAGTGTACTACAACCCCGCATGCGAGATATTCGTGTTCAAGAAAACGGCCCTGGTAGCTGTAGTCCGCAGCCTATATGAGCTATCTTATACAATATATATATATATATATATATATATATATATATATATATATATATATATATATATATGTGTGTGTGTGTGTGTGTATGAAATCAAATTACGTTTAACAGAAGAAAAAGAAATAAAACACATTTTTACATGCGCGCTCAACATTCGCTCGGCCATAGAAGTTCATACCACAGGGCATAGGCCATAATTCTATTATAGACCTAACGACACCCGCTCATCATAACATTTGTCAGTAATGATATCGGGTATTTAAAGCAAGATCTCAGTATATCATTTAGAATTACAAGGAAAAAAAATCACAACAGAAAAGATATATTATGCATCTTAAAAGAATTTTTGTATAACTAAATCTAAACAATTCTATTGGCTGGTCCCAATAGCGGCCGAGGCTATTAGGACCCGGGTCCCAATAGCGGCCGAGGCTATTAGGAGCCGGGTCCCAATAGCGGCCGTGGCTATTGGGACCCGGGTCCGAATAGATGCATCCTAAATCTGGTAATCTATCGTTTTGGGTACGTAAAATCGCCCGCGGCTATTTATGTACGAAAACGTTACCTCATTGTCAAGGCTTTAATAGAAGTATATTGTCATACTTTTGTGTCAAATATTATAGATAAATGAATAATAAACCTAAATCAATGGCTAAATATATCGATATAGGCCAGAAATTAACTTTAAACAGCAGTTTCTGAGAGCAAGATTTGCTATATAAACAGCAGCCATTTGTAAAATAGAGTGGCTTCCCCCTGAATCTGGCGCTAAAAGCTTATAAAAATAAAACTTAGACAAGATGGCTGCTATAGTAAATGAGCATGGTTGCATCTGTTGGAAACATCGCTAGTCTTCATTTATTACGGAAAAGTTTTAATTCAATTGGGTAAAATCTTAGTTTAGCGTCGTAAATTCCCACGTAGCTAGTAATGTGCGATGAAGGTAACTAATGAATATTTCTTTCATTTGGACATATTTATGTCATATTTTACATAATATAACAGTTAATTAAATAACAAATCACAATCCAAGACAAAACCAGTCATAAATATCCTGGAATAAACTTTAAACTACCCCGTTCGTGACAACAATGAGTAAATACAAGCAGCGGCCATGTTTCAAAAACAACAATAGAGTAGTTTCCCTTGAAAAATTGTCTATTCGCATGTCTTTTGTGTTGATTTTGTGGTTTAATATGATTGTTTTGTATTGTTTTAATATATGCCTGGGGGTCGTCCATAAATGACGTCACACTCGTAGGGGGGAGGGGGGTCCGCAATTTTGTGACGGTGTGTGATGAGGGGGAGAGGGGGGGGCGGTTCAGATGATGCGACGTCACACTTTTGCATTATAAAAAAGCAATGTTAGAAAACGAATTTTAGACGTTATTTTGCGTTTTAGAAAACTGTTTTAATACATTGTAATAACAATTGATTAAAATACTCTCTTTTAACAGAGTTCAGACACGATTTTAGAAAAATATAGCTGTTTAAAAAAATTCAACTGCAATTTTGAGGGGGGGGGGGGGGGGGGGTTGTAGGCTGAGGTGTGACGTCATTTTTTTTTTTTTGGGGGGGGGGTCTGGCTTTTTGTGACGACGTGTGACGGAGGGGAGGGGGGGAGGTAAAAATCGTCCAAAAAAGCGTGACGTCATTTATGGATGACCACTGTATAGTAATTTTTCTTTTTTTTTTTTTTCAATATAGTTGACATGAATGACTAATAGACCTTTTCAGACTTAATAGTGTGCATCCAAGACCACAACAATTGTTGGGAGGTCGAACTTTTGAACACTTTATTTGCAGTAAGCAAATCAATATTAGATCGCTCATAAATGACGTCGCTCATAAGATAGTAATGACAGCGTGCATTATTACAGAACAAACATATTGTTTCAGATAGAAATTGTGATTTGTGGTGGGGAGAGGTTTAGTAGAACTCAGCGATGTGATTTTGGAGACGGGTCAGGTTTTTTTTTCTCGTGAAAACAGGGGATGGTTGTGGGAGAAAGACGAGCTGTAGACGTATGACGCGTCATTCATCGGTGATCCATTTTCTCAGTGGGGACGTTAGAACTATTAAGAAGGGTCAAAAAATGTAAAAAGCTTGCTGAGTCGCATTTCTTGAACCCCACCTTTTTCATTCCCCACTTAGCACATCGTCACCGAGTTAACGCTCGTACGTGACGTCATGTACCGGTACCGCCGACCGTTAGGCTAATTTTATATAAAAAAAAAACAAGCACTGCCGTTTTGACGCTTATGCGACGTTTAATTTGATTACATAAGTTGGTGTTCATCAAACAGCCCCTAACACATCTATCACTCGTCCATTTAAACGTGCGTGGTTATTTCTGCAAGCTTGCTGTCTTGAGACTTTCGGCCGTATAAAAATGTATTAAGCTCTCACCGTATAGAACTAGACTACCCATATTAAGCTCCAAAAGAAGCTTGGTGAAAACAGGATGGCCGTCCGATTTTGAAGCTGCTCTGCGCTTTATAAAAAGCACAATAAACGATAAGATGACACTTATATTAAAGTAAATTATAGTTCTGAATCTTGATACATTAAAAGTGATATTCGGAAATTTAGAGCCAGACAGTCAACATGATATTTCAATTTAAGTCCAAGAAAATAAATTTCCTCAAACGATGGAACATTACTAAATTTTCGCGCAGTTTAGCGAATTGAATTTAAGTATTTACGTCATCTTACAAAGCGCGATAGCCTACTGGTGCTCTAACGCGGCCCATGCTAATTGCCGTATTCCTAACGCCCCGCATTAGACGCGGCTTATTCGTCGGCAGGCATTTGGTGGCAAGCCTTTTTGACGGGGATAATGTGTTGAGGCCGTTTTTCCTAATGTCTTAAACTAGCAGGCTTGCAACATTTGTGATGATTCGTTTTAAGCAAGGTATACGTATACTAATGCTTATTTATCGTTATTTTGATTGAACAAAGCATTATAGAGGTTCTCCATCAACCACCTAGGTATTTTTCCCCGTTCACCTCCTTTCATGAGACCGACACGTCATAAATTGCGGTGCCGCGTGAGTTGACGTCACAAATCTTCACTCACTCCCGTAGCAAATCATATGTGACATCATTTATGGACAACCCCATATCACTCACTTGTGTACTTGATATTGACAATTTGACAACAAAGGATAACCAAAATGTGTCTGGCAGGTGGAGACTTGCGATCGACCATAATGACAACACGCACTTAAGGGATGGACTGGCTCATTGTTTTAGATGATGTTTTACGAGGGAAGCTGGTGGATAATACATTTTGTCTCTCTGTATATATAGATGATGACAAACATTTAATGTTGTCAAAATTATGGTTAGAGATCTTAGATAAGGCAGAGTGAAGCGTAATTTTTTACATTATGACTTATTGTGACATTGACAACAAAAATATGACGGAGGTTGGGGTTTAATTAAGGTAAAGAGAAGTAAAAAAATGTCATAAGTTACGATAGAATCACTAATTGATGAAAAGAAAAACCTGAAATGAAAATAGTGAACATTCAAACAATAAGAAAAAACTCAAACTAAATAGTAATAGTAAGATCAAATAAACATTAGTTTTTAAAAAAAACCTGATTTATGGATACAAGTTGCATCTCACAATGCTTCTAGAATTAATAAAGTTGTTAGGAAATTAAGTTTTTAAAGAGCAGAATTAAAAAAAAAAATGCTTTGTAATACGGACTATACAACAAGACAATCATATTTAACTACAGTTTCATACGAATAGAAATGAAAGGGAAGCTACTCTAAATAACATTTTCTTAAGATGGCTGCTGTTTTTAATAGCAAATTTACTAACTCGAACAGGGTTGATAAAAATTAATTTCAGGATATTTAAATTGATTTAACCATAAATGGTGATCTATTATTCAATTATTTGTAATATTTTATCAAAATATACGAAAATATACTCATATTTAATGACATATTCATTAATTCACTCTCTCCTACATTACTAGTTTTGGCCGAATTTACGACGCTAAACTAAGATTTTACCTTCAATTGTTTAAAAACAGGTACATAAATGAATCAAGGAAACATTTTTAAATTTTTTAAAACATAAATCCTCCTCAAAATGTGAAATAATTATTAAAATTTAAGGAGTCACCTGTTTTTCACATTACAAATCGCGGGCGATTTTACGTACCCAAAACGATAGATTACCCTAAATGAAATCTTTAGCCTACCCATTGCCATGGAAATCTTAACTGACACAACATATTTTCAAGAGTAAAAAAAAAAAAAAACTAAAAAGTGCACATTCAATAATTCCAAATTTGGATTTTTCTGAAGTTTTGACAAAAGTAAAATATCTAAAACTAAAATTCATTGAGAAATAGGCTTAGACTTTTTCTAAAGTTTTTGTATGTTTCGGTTGTTTATAATAAAATACGCTCACCTGAGACTGGAGGTGAACGTGAAGCAGGGAATTAAAAAAAATACGCTAAAATGGAGTTTTACCTAGATCTAGATCTAAGTAAATTAAAATATTTACCTGGTTAAGTTTTAACAGACAAGTTGAAATTTTACGAAAAGAGAGTGCCGTCCTAGACATCTTGAAAATTATTTTTTAACTAGCCTGAATATGAAAAAAATACCAAGAAACCTCGACCTCCACAAATGTGCAGGGGTTAGGACGAGTGCTGACAACGTCACGGAAACACTTCCGGGGTTTATAATATCACGTGGTGCACTCCAAAATCTGTACCGGAGTTTTTATTAGAAATAATAGCAGCGGTAGTCCTAGGCCCAAAGGCAAAGGCATATCTCTGTCATATCTCTAGAAAAGTACTCTATTATATAAACTATTGATACGAAAAGCCAAGTCATAGGACACATGACTGTTACTAATTATTAGGCCTATTTAGATCTATATATATTTCTACCTATAAAGACAGTAAGTGAAGTTTGAGGGGACATTGGCTTAGAAAATAGCTGTCATTTCTATATGTATATATTTTTATGTGGGGGGGGGGGAGGGGGTTCTTAGCTAAATCATCAGTGGGTGATAACCTAAATCTTATAAAACACTTCTCAATTGTATTTTTAAATGAATTGAAGCTTGCTTTGTCTTACTAAGGATGAAAAATATAAAATAAACCTCAGAACACATTATTGTGAAGTAAATCGCATGGTCAAGAAAAGTGCAAAAGAAGACAAAAGACAGTTCATACAAGAGATGACAGCGGAGGCAGAAACTGCAGCACAACAAGGAAAGGAAAAATGAAGAGGCTCTATCATGCAAGAATATCAACCCCAACAAACCAGTAAAGGATAAAGTAGGAAATATCTTAACAAGTGACACAGAACAGAGAGACAGATGGGTACAGCACTTTGATGAGATTTTAAACCATCCTTTCTCATCCAACATCCCTGATATACCAACTGCAAACCACCTACTAAACTTGTGTACAGATCCACCCACAAAGTTAGATATAATAAGAGCAATAAAGAATATGAAAAAATGGCAAAGCAGCTGGCCCGGACGGCATCCCACCAGAGGCACTATAAAAGCAGACCCAGCCATATCAGCATACATACTACATCCTCTACTTAAGCAGATTTGGGAAGAAGAGATAGTTCCATCTGACTGGAAACTGGGATACCTCATAAAACTGCCAAAGAAGGGAGACCTGACACAATGCAACAACTGGAGAGGGATAATGCTTCTTTCAGTCCCAAGTAAGGTTCTGACAAGAATCATCCTAGAGAGACTTAGAGCAGGGGCGTAGCGAGGGGGGGGTGCGGACCGCACCAGGTGACACCATTTAGGGGGGTGACACCAAGGCGAAAAATAGCAAAATATATAGAGAAAAACTTGAGGGGGGGGGGGTGCAAATCGAAAACTTGAGAGTTTATCCCCGGGAAGGGTCGCAACGCCTCTGGGGGGGGGGGGGGGGTGACACCATTAAGTGCCGCACCGGGTGACACCCTACCTCGCAACGCCACTGACTTAGAGATGCCTTGGATAAAAAGCTGAGGCAAGAACAAGCTGGTTTTCGTCAAGACAGGTCGTGTACTGACCACATTGCTACGCTGCGCATCATTATTGAACAGTCTCTTGAGTGGCCATCCCCCTTATACATGACTTTTGTCGACTTCGAAAAGGCGTTTGACAGTGTGAATAGAGATGTTATCTGGAAGTTAATTAGCCACTATGGAATACCCAAAAAATTTATATCTATCACACAGAAACTATATGAAGACTCCACCAGTCAGGTAATACACAAGCGAAAACTAACTAAACCATTCACGGTGACGACGGGAGTAAGACAGGGATGTATGCTATCGCCAATGATATTCTTGATGGTAATCGACTGGATCATGCTGAAAACCACAAAAAAAAAACGACACAGGAATCCAGTAGAGTTTCACCAAAAGGCTGGAAGATCTTGATTTTGCCGATGACATCTGCCTACTATCTCACAAGCATCAACACACGCAAGCCAAACTAAATCGGCTATCTGAAGAAGCCTCCAAAGCTGGACTAAAAATCAATAAAAATAAAACAGAGGTTATCAGAATCAATAACAGCCAGGACCTGCCAATACAGCTAAATGGAGAAGATTTACGAGAAACTAACACATTCACATATCTGGGAAGCGTGATCAATAAGGACGGGGGAGCAGACGAGGACATAACATGTCGTATCAACAAGGCTAGACAGGCCTTCAAATCACTGCGCCCGATGTGGAGGTCCACGGCCCTGTCACTCCGGAGAAAAATTGGGATTTTCAACTCAAATGTCAAGGCAGTGCTGCTCTATGGCTCGGACACTCGGAGGGTCACGAAGACAAATACTGATAAGCTACAGGCATTCCTAAACAAATGCATACGGCATATACTTAAAATAAGATGGCCAGACAAAATATCAAACAAAGACCTGTGGCGAACTTTAAAGCAACAGCCAATAGAGACAGATATCAAGGCCCGAAAATGGGGAGGGATCGGACACATATTAAGAAAAGGAAAAGAAAACATCGCAAGGCATGCTTTGGACTGGAATCCCCACGGAAAAAGGAGGGTGGGCCGGCTAAGGAAGACATGGAGAAGAACGGTTGAAGAAGAGGCGAAAACAGCTGGGGGGGGGGGTAGACTTTCTAAGAGATGCCTGGAAGAAAAACTCTGGCTTAGAGTCAGGAAAGGGTCGACAGCGTTATCGACGGTTAGGACTAAGATAGTTGTAAAAGAGTAGGAATTGCCTACTAGCAAAAATAGCTTCGAATTGGGTTTACATCCTGGAGTCATTTTATTTACCGTCACCGGGTGTAAAACATTACTCCCGTCAATTACCCCCCCCCCCCCCCCCATATATATATATATATATATATATATATATATATATATATATATATATATATATATATATATATATATATATATATATATATATATCTTATACTAATTATGAGAGACATTAGGGCCCACATAAGGTTTATTTTCTACATGTCTTTACACCATCTTATATAGGGTTGACTTGTCTTTTTATCTGCTGTTCTAAGGATATTTTATCTGTGATGCCAAATTGCAGTATTTTCTCTGTAGGGCTGGTACGTGAATGATGTAACCATTATGGCTCTACACAAAACGTATATAATTTATGAGGGGTCCAGTGAAGCGTGTCTGTGAGACCGCCTCCATTACTACACATCCCCCACCTTTGGGCGCTTATAAATGCCGCATGCAATCTGTCACTGGATACCGGTATGCAAAAAGTCAAGGTCGTGTATATAAACAAGCTAGGTTATTTAAAAAATACACCGACAATCTTTCATGTAACAACAAAACAAACATCAGTTTGGCTCCGAACAGATCATGTCTACATATAATGTCCTTCCTTACCACAAATTCTTGTTGTAAGTTTCCTGAAAATCAATAACAGTATTGATTTGCTTTATCTTGCTAAGGAAAACTAGTTAGGTAAGACGGTGTACAGCCGACGTCCTTCTACATTCAACTGTGGGGGATCTTGATAAAAGGCCGACATAGACAAAAGGCCGACATAGACAAAAGGCCGACAGGAAATAACGTTGTGTCTAATGCAGTAAGAAGAAAAAATGAAACTGCGTGTGCAAATAGTGTTCACTACACACGCCCAGGCGCACGCACACATGTACAATGATAGGGACTTTTTTTTTACCTAGAGTTGTACAATTAGTTAACTCCACAATGCTGAGGATGATGTCTCAGACGTAATGTTTGCATCAATTCCTCGACTTTTCTTTGCACGTTGTTGCAGAATGTTGACAGACTGAATCGTAGACTTGCTTCATTTTATGTTATAAGCCTACAGTAGATCCATGTTTGTAATTGTATGTTATAGGCCTACAGTAGGCCCATATTTGTAATTGTATGTTATAGGCCTACAGTAGGCCCATGTTTGTAATTGTATGTTATAGGCCTACAGCAGGCCTATTTTAGTAATTGTATGTTATAGGTCCATGTTAGCAATTTTATTAAATTAATATACGACTCATATACACAACACACACATACACACCTACACACTTTGTTTTATCAAGACCTCAATCTATGTTCCAACAAAATGCATCAGTGGGTCCATAATTTTCTTTTTAAATAGTTTGTTTTTATCGATCAGAATGGCGAATAAACCTGCACTGGAGTGGTGAAGCTTTCTGTTTTAATGGCTATATGGGAGTCTTATGTATTTAAATACATAACTCATCAATGAAAGTAATAATACACACAGCAAGTGTCGATTTCACCAAAGGTTTTTAAAAATTGTCTATGTTGTCTGGCTTGCCCAGGATTTATTTTCTTATGCAGATGACGAAAATATTATTTTCTAGCGGCCAGATGCTCACAATCTGCTCAATATCTTTGACAGGTTGACCAGCCGAGGTTTGACACGTCTCCCCCCCCCCACCCCTTTCTCCGTCTCTTAGTAATTCTCCCGGAATCCAGTAGCCCCTCTTGTATTGATTGTATTGTGTGTCTTTTACCCATTCGTGTGCCTGTTCAATTTAGCCGAAATAAAATTTAAAAAAAAAAGAAAAATGATTCATAATAAATGAGCAATGAAATAACCGAGGCCTTGACGATAATAATTATAAATTCTAATTAGGTATTTTACCGCAACTATAGCACAGCTGAGCACAGTGATAGTTCTAGGCTACTAAATAGTCAAATACGTTTTTTCAATTACGGCTTGTTCTTTTGTCTAGGTTAGAAACAATGGTGTGCACCAAAAGGTTTTGTGAAGCATTGATGAGAGCGAGAGAGAGAGGGAGGGTGTGTCACGTGTGTGTGGGGGGGGGGGGTCACTTAAAACTTCAATGGGTGAACTAGCTAATTTATTTTTGTCTCTATATATCTCTATATATTTACTTTTCTATTTTATCCGGGAGGCGGGGATGGAGGGTGTGCTCTACATCCCCCACCCCCAACACCTTAAGAGAGATGATTGAAAGAATAACTGAATGACATGATGTATCTGCCCATATGAAAGATGTTGAGGTCAGCTCACATAGCCTAGACCCTACTAGAAACGTGTTCGGATCTCGGACTGGCCATTGTCCCCTCTGAGTCCACCCAGCTCTGATAGGTACATGACCAACGCTGAGGCTGGTATATACTGGTAATGAACCTATATATAAAAGAGAAGGGGGTGGCACAAAATTGATATATTTCGCCTCGGGCGCAAGAATGGGTCGC